CGCCGCGCGTGCCCCCGCCCGCGCCCCCCCCGGCCACAGCACCTGCCACTGCTACGGCAACTGTTGCGGCAATCCAGGAAAAACAGCAGCAGGAGCTGAGCTATGGACAGGTAAGCAGGAAAACAGACTGGTTTAAGTGGAGACTGCTGTTGGGTGGAAGGGACTGTGAACCTGTGTATCAAGAACAAGTAAACAAAGTACATTGACTTTAGTGGTTAATCATTACTTATATAATAAGGATGTTAAGTGTGTGGTTGTTATGAATATGGTTGGTTTTAAGTCCAATGACTAAGGCAGCATTAACATGACAGCTGTCACAATGTTAACTAGTAAGAAAACACTAAAAAATCATTTATGGAATTAATAATTCCCATTCACTCCAATACATTTGTTTTTTGCCTGGTGATCTTATCTATGTTTTTTTTATGTCTGTTTTGGAGACATTCAGCGCCCATGCAGTCTGTCCATGTTTCAAAACTCCTAATCATATGCGTTAGTAGCAACCTGACAGGAGGTAATCAGGCTGTGTGTCTTCACCTACAGGAAAAGAACATCCATTTGATGACTGGGAGGTTCCCATGTTAGATAGAGGAGTAGGGGGGGGTTTGTCACTCTTCTCTCTCCTCACATTCACTGTAGCTTTAAGGAACATGAATGGCATTAGGTCAAGTAAGTAGTCATACTGAAGCTGACCATCGGTGGCAGTGCCAGTCAGACCAACCACTGCCTTCATGTTACACTGACCAGACCTCAGACATCACAGAGGTTAAAGGTCGTCATCGCTTACTGTTCTTTCAGAACACTTTCAGACGTCTCTTGGATGAGATGGTGACTTCAACTCAGGTTGCTGCTGACTCACACACTTTGGAAAACCAAACCCTGAATGAATGAAAGTCTACACAGCCAAGACATATCCAAGCACTTTTTTAAATCTAATTTTCCTATTACAGAAAGAACATTCCGTACCAGATGCCTCTGGTTTGTTTCACTAGCAAAAAGGGAAACTCAAATTGCAAGAAGACATTGTTACACAGTGGCAAGAAAAGAAAAATAAATAGGCAGATAGTAGTATATTAAATACATTTACAGATGGGGAAACACAACATGGAATTACAGGAGTCTGTATCTCCTACAGCACAGAGTAGTGCTCCAATGGCAGAGTCTGTGTTGGGCAAGAGCATCATCTTTAATAAATCTACCCTCTAACCTTAAAACAATGCTGTGGTTATCTAAGGCTAAAGTTTGTCTAGTACCGGACTTGAGTTGGGTTTTTTCCTTCCAGGTGAGTGGGTCACCTCCATACAGCACCCAGTTCCTGTCACATTCAGGCCCCCGTGGCCCTTCAGCAATGAACCCTACTGGGATGGTCCCTTCCAGACCTGGGCCTCCCCCCTCCTCTGTGGGCATGTATCCCACTCATCCTGCACAGATACAAAAGATGGCACAGCACGGAGGCTATCCCAGCGGACCGCATGTGCTCAAACGACCTTTCCCTTCTGAGGTCAGTGGAGAGGTTTACTGTGGGTTTCTTTAAACACGTAACATATCATATCTAGTGTCAAAGCTTTTACACAAATGTTATGCTGATCTTATCTCACCTCCTCTTCATGATTCTTTTCTGTGGCTCTATCAGAAGATCAGTTGAAATGATTATTCTTCATTTTTTAAAATATTTTTCAGTGGGTAATAAACTCTGATATTATTTTCTATATTTGTGGGAGATGCAGTGCAGAGGGTCAGTATTTGTCTGGGTTTTTTTTTTCAGGGATTTCCAGTGCAGCAGTATGGTCCTACTGGGATGGCAGGTTACCATAACCAGACGTTGCAGTACCCGACTGGCCCCCAGCAGAGATGTGCCCCCTCTCCCTCCTACACCACCCCACGGTTGCCTTCCATGGCACAGTTCACCTCTGGATCACACATCCCAGTACAGTTTCCTCCAGGACCAGGGCAGCTCAATCCTCCACAGTATTACAAAGTAACCAGTTCCAACCAAACACTGATGTTAAGTAGAGAACAATTTGACTACCATTCCCTTAATGCTTAATCATTTCATTTATTATTGTTTCCATACCTCTGTGCAGCAGGAGACGTACTGTTTCTGAGTCACTGTGAATGAATTATAGTGTTGCACTACAAATAAATTGATAGCAGCTTAAAAACACACATTTGCTGCAAATATAACAGCAGAAAAAAGGCAACTGACACTAGAGGTGCAGTCAGTTAAGGAAAGTTAACAGTAATATTACCTACAGTAATACCTACTTGATAAGGCAGCAAATATTTTGGTGGTTCTTTAAGTTACCAAATTAAGTCAGTCCTCTTAAATTTTAAATAAGTTTATGTTCTCTATTTTATGAATGAATCATTAGCTCATTGTTTATTTTTATTCTACAGTCAGAGTCTTTCAGCGCTCAGGCGGGATTCAATGCCTTTACACAGGCCGCTGCAATAAACGAGGTAAGCCGTGTCTGCACTGTTGATTCAAACACTGACACCACTTTAAAAGGCCATGCAGAACAGTACTGCAATAGAAAAGATTGTGTTTTTTCCCGTATCTCAGCCAGGTAGGGGTGGAATGATGCCGAGCTACCCCAGCTCACCCATGGGAGGAAACCCTACCCCACCAATGACACCTGGCAGCTCCATACCACCCTACCTATCTCCAGGTGCGGACACAAAACCTCCATTCCCTCCACCAGACACTAAAGCCAACATCAACAGCCAGCAACCGTCAATAGGTGAGACCCCAGCCCTGCACTGCATTAACATCATAAACTGAGTCAGTGGTTACTTCTTCTGTTTCCTGCTCCAGGAAACCCCAGTGATGACCTGCGGCTAACTTTTCCTGTCAGGGATGGTGTTGTGTTAGAGCCGTTCAGACTGGAGCACAACCTGGCTGTTAGTAACCACGCCTTCCACCTGCGAGATTCTGTCTACAAAACACTCATAATGAGGTGGGAGGATGTCACTTCTTTTTTTTCTTTTTTATAATTTATTTGTCTTCATCCTCTCATTTATCTTCTTGTTCTTTTGCTTTCTCTTCTAGAATTGAATGGCACTGATAACAGTGCTTTATAAAAAGAGCAGAAATTGACATTGTTAAAATATTATATAAGGTCATGACTCAAACTTGCCCAAGCTGTGTGCCATTGGAGTGCCTGGATGAGAGTAGGGATGCTAGTGCAATTAATAGTAGTAATAAGTCATCATTTTGGTTGCATTGATTTAACACATGAATAAAAGCACTTCACCTGCTGACATTTCTTGGAATTTGACTTTTTTCCAAACAATTTAATTTCTTATAATGTGATTCAGTTTAAGAGAAAAGAAATGTAATTGTGCTATTACAGTATACCCAAGCTGTGGGGCTTTTATTGTATAATTGCTCCAAATGTTTAATATATACACATTACAGGGGAAGATGCATTGAAGTGAAGTCCAGTCCTCGTTTGTGATTGTTGGTAACACAGGGTGTATTTAGTGTTCCTAACCTCTGTCTCTTACATAATGATAAACAGCAAAAGAGGAAAAAACATCTGAGGAATGTTTGATAACCCCACCCTGTCTCTCTCTGACCAAATGCGCTTTGTCTCCCCCTGCAGACCTGACCTGGAGCTGCAGTTTAAGTGTTACCACCACGAGGACAGACAAATGAACACGAACTGGCCAGCTTCTGTGCAAGTAAGTATCACCTCTTCTTCTCTTCTTCTCTCCTGTTTACACTCTAAAGGTCAATTTCATTTATTTGATTGTCTTTTATGATTATCTAAGCCATTGTGAGTATAGCTGGAATGTCGGCATACTGACAGGAATGTGATCAGTGATCTGTTTATTTAGCTAAAATAAAACCTTACAGCAACAAATGAGACAATAGTGAAATTGTTTTTTTTAATCTATATTTTAAAAATGTATTAAGATATACTGTGTGTGTATATATATACACACACATATATATCTGTATATATGTGTATACATATATACATTATGTATGTATATACTATATATGTGTATACATATATACAGTATGTATGTATATATATATGATTTTTATGTGTTTTTACCCCTTGTTTCAGGTTAGTGTTAATGCAACTCCTATGTCCATTGAGAGAGGAGACAATAAAACTTCCCACAAGCCCCTGTACCTGAAGCATGTGTGTCAGCCAGGAAGGAACACCGTACAGATCACAGTAACAGCCTGCTGTTGTGTAAGTGACTTTTATGCCTCTAAATTTAAGACAAATACATAATAAGATTTAAAAAAAAATCTAAGATCTAAGACTTGTTTTGAACGGAGCATGTGCTGGTTTTGACGCCCCACCATCCACCCCCCACCCCCCCACTCCCCAGTCCCACCTGTTTATGTTGCAGCTGGTGCATCGACCTACGGTGAGGTCAGTCCTGCAGGGTTTGATGAAGAAAAGACTGCTGCCTGCTGAGCACTGCATCATCAAGAGTGAGTTGTAGAGAGCTTTTTTTCTAAACATATTCTCACTAAGTAAGGACATTTTCTGTTAAACCACTACAGTAACAAACTGTTGCACCAACAGTTTGTTACTGTCCCAATGTCCATAGGGACAGAGGGACTAGAACAAGATCACCTCAGTGAGTTTGGTGAACTTGACCCTTCCACTTCATCTGAGGACATTAGTGGGAAAACCTCAGTTATTATTGACCTTAATGACGTTAATTTTCCTTAATTTCTCTCTTAATAAACATACTGTGAATAGGTGAAATAAACACTATACTGTACGTGTGTAAGACAAGCAGTGACATTGGAATCACAGTAGATGGCAGCAGTGTTACAGGCAGAATATCTGTAGCGTAGTAGTACGAATTTGTTTATGTTTAAAGCTAACGTTGGTCAGTGGAAAATCCAGACGTTTTTTTCTAGGACTACAGCTTAAATAAAAGTGAATAAGTCAAAACGAAATAACTTGTTCCCTTTGGTCACACTGCTCCTGTACTTTTTTTTCAATTCAGTGTCAGATCATACCAGTTGTGGAATGCCATATTTATTTTGTATGTAAAGCACTGACTTCTCCTTACTGTTGAATAAACGGACCAACCATCTCCTTGTTTTAGTAAAGAGAAATTTTAGTAGTGGTACAATCCCTGGGACTCCTGGTGTCAACGGCGAAGATGGTGTGGAGCAGACAGCAATCAAAGTTTCTCTCAAGTGTCCAATCACCTTTAGACGCATCCAGTTGCCGGCCAGAGGTTTTGACTGTCGGCATATACAGGTACACACTGAGACTACTAGTATAGGATGAACTAAAACAGTGGAAGGCCCCTCCAGAAGTCTGATGTCATGTTGTCTTTATTTCTCAGTGTTTTGACCTAGAGTCCTACTTACAACTCAACTGTGAAAGAGGAACGTGGCGATGTCCTGTCTGCAAGTATGTACCTGAATAAAGCAATGCTCCACTGTCTATCACATCATCTTGTTGCTGCACAGACTTTACTTAATGGCCTGTTCCTATTGTCCACAGTAAAACTGCAGTGTTAGAGGGCCTCGAGGTCGACCAGTACATGCTTGGTATACTTGTCTACATACAAAAGTAAGCAATTCAATGGGTTTTATACCTGGAAATAAAAACACACACGGAACTGTTTTTATTTCTTCTGTTGTCATTCATGAACCAGAGGTGTTCCTAATTCTCTGACCCATCCTCAGTTCTGATTATGAGGAGATCACTATAGATCCAGTTTGCGGTTGGAAGCCGGTGCCTGTCAAACCAGACCTGCACATAAAGGAGGAACCTGATGGTCCGGTCCTTAAACGCTGCCGCACAGTGAGCCCGAGTCACATGGTGCTCCCAAATGTAATGGAAATGATTGCATCGTTGGGACCAGAATCCTCGCCTTACCAGAGTCTGACCACAGGAGGCAGGACTTCACCTGACTACAACAGGCCAGGTGATACTTAGTCAGCTCTGTTTTATTGACTGAATATGACTGAAGGATATGAAGGTTATGTAATATAGTTCACATCTAGTTATCATCATGCATAAGCATCATGTACAGTATATAAATATATAAGTTATATACACACATTTTGAAACACCAGTTACTTATAGTCCAGTCTTTCAGACCAATGACCCTACAAGGTAATGGAGAAATGGACCACGGACTTCTCAATATAAAACAAAATGTATAAAACTGGTTTAAATTACTAGTCTTATTGCATTCTATAAACATGCTTAACTTTTTGCCATTTTTTTTCAAATGTAAATATATAAATAATGTTTAATCATCCTAAAATTTCACAACCTTCCCCTCGCAGTACCTCTATGACCCCTTGACCTACTGATAGAGACCTCTGATGTTGTTGTTGTTGTTGTTGTAGTGTGAGTGTCTGCGTGCTAGTCTTGGTCAGTTGGTCGGTTCCATCGTGTAGCGGTTAACACGCTTGCCTCAGAAACAGAGAGTCCTGGGTTAGATTTACACCGGAACCACATGTTGGCGCTTGCTAGGGGCAGCCTGTTAACAACATATCTGCTGCTAACACAACCGTTTCCCAAATATGGGATCAATATAGTACAAATTAGTTTATTATTATTTATTATATCCTTGTGTCCTTCTTACTCGTCGTGTTTTGGTTCTACAGGGAGCCATGGATTCCCAGGCTTCACAGATTTCCCCAACACTCCTGGGACACCGACACTTACAGAGTTCTCCTCTTCATCGGGTCCACCATCTCTCCCCTACCATCCTGAGCAGGTCAGGCCTCCGTTCCATTTATTGCATCAGCAAACATTTGAGTGAACACACAGAGACCTTTCCCTGGTTTCCTTTCTTGACTTGGCCTCTGGCCTCTGTGATGGGAATTAAGTGCAAGGCTTTTTTCTTCTCTTTTCTTTGAGGACATTTAGTGTCGCCTAATGGTCGGAAAGTCACCAGGAATAAACATGTCTTCACAAAACCAGCGATAGTATTAGTACCACATGAAAGGACCAGGAAATCCGAGGGTTTAGACCAAAAGTAAAGATGCCACGTGTGCTGCCTTTAACGACTATTTGTTTGTTGATTCATCTTTCCACTATTTTTTCATCAGTCAACTAATATTTCCCAAATATCAAATGTCATTCATTGTTGTTTAATTTTTTTAACATAACATTAAATGTAAACTTACATAACATGTTTATATTAAGTGCATACCATTAAGGGGAGATGAAATACAAGTCCATAAATGTTTTGCTTATACTACTACTCTACACTTCACATGAACCACAAAAAAGCATACATATCTTCTATATACAGTATATAAGTGGATTGAAGTGGACAAAGGTAGGCTGACTATGCCACTACAGAATAACAAAGGTAAACATTATGAAGGGCTGTCTGTTTCAATGTAACTATAAAGGGAAAATCTGTTGATGTGTTGTGTGGTCTTGATTTACCACTTCAAACATTTTACTTGAGAACAAGATAGAAAAACCTTGAAATAAAAATTTTGACAATTTTAACTTGTGCACTGTAGTAGAATGGTTAGTGTTTTTGACCAAAAGCAAAAGGAACCCACTGATTATTGATACACTTTCTGTATGAAGTTTATCATTAATAATTAGGGCCATTGGTGGCCTGGTGGTTAAGGTGAGCAGACTTGAGTCCAGAAGGTTGCAGGTTTAAATTCACCAGCCCCTGAGGTGTCACTGAGCATGGCACCATGCCAACACACGGGCGCTTAGCTTGAGCTGCCCCCTGCTCACTAAGGTGATGGGCTAAAGGCAGAGGTCACATTTCATTGTGTGCTGTCACAATGACAATAAATCACATTCAAACATTTGTCTTTTATCAGGGAGCAGCAGAAAGACAGGTGTTCATTTTAGAGTGAAGTAGTTTAGCTCAAAAATGTCAGCCAGGATTTACTGTGTAGTATTTCCTTTCAGTCAGGTCTCATGTATACTCTCTGCCTTAGTTGTTGAAATGTATCAGAAATCCTAGTACTTTTACTGCAGCGTGATGCCTCAGTGTGTTTGCCACTCCTCCTGCCACTGTTTCTCCTGCTTAAAGCGAACATGGGTGCTTACGCATGCACATAAAACATTAACTTTGCCTCAGCGGGGTGCACTCCCACCCTAAGAACCACTGCCTTCGACTGACACCGGTGGATGGAAAGAGACAGGCAGACATATAGAGAGAGACAGAGACATAAAGGGGACTCTTCTGTACTATTTCGTAAAGCTAGTAGTTCAGTCATACACTTTACACAGAGACCCTGCAGTAATGAGGAAAGGACACAGCCACTGTCACCCTGTAACTGTATGACCTGAACAGGCCAATACTGAGTTCTGACTGTCTTTTCCTTCTGGTTGTGTGATTTGAGTTGAGAGCCTTTAACTGACCCTGAAGTAGACAGCACTGACTGAGGAGATATTTACCAGGTACTGAGCCTCTGAACCACACACTGCATGTCTCTCACAGCTGCTCTGGTTGTCTGCTGTGAGTTTGTGTTTATCCTTTCCTGTCACATACTTCTGGTGTGTACTATTTTGCCTAATGTCTTTGGGCTGTGGTTCTAAAATTATGGCATGTGTACCACTGGTGGTACTTGGTCTCCCTCTAGGGGTACATGTGGGGACTGAATCCCCTTTAGGATAATGTGAGTCACCTGGGATTTAAATACAGCTACTGTGTACTTTTGATATTCCCTTTTATGCATGTGTGTGGGGAGGGGATGCTAGAGGATTGGGGGGAGGTCTATGTGTGACTTGGGGTCATGTAAAAAGAAGTACTGGCTTTAAGGCTTTAGTTTTTTTGTGACCTAATGTTAGAATCACAGTAATTATTGTCTTCAGAAATCAGCTGATTGTACTTTTGTTGTCTTCTTTTTGTGTCTCCTACCAGGAGACACCTCCTGGACGGCTGGAACTTTCACAGAACATTCTGCAGCAGCAGCAGCAGCAGCAGCACAGCTCTGGTGTTCACACTGACACTGGCAGTCCGCCGTCTCAGCAGAATACTAATACCCAGAATTCACGGCTACAAAGCAACAGCTCCTTTGGTTTGGGGGACAATGGGGCTCCTGGAGGAGAGGGAGCTGATCCTGCACTGGATGTAAGTGATAATGTGTTGACCCTTATCAGCTGAGACTGAACTAGTTATGTTATTTGTAGGTCTAATTATTATGAATTACTTAGAACTTGTTGCTTATCAAAGTCTATTTGAGACATTTCAGTGACTGAATTGCACTTGAGTTATTCAAGCACCACTGCAAAACAGGATTGTTGACAACATTTAAAAAAAAGTTTTTAAGAAACATCTAGAAAAGGCATAGTTCAGGATATCTAATTATGCAAACAAATTACAGAATATTATACTTGAGCTACTAAAGATGAAATTCCTTGTAAGAGGACATCTTTGCATATTAACCAATGTCTCCTACAAACCTGTTCTAACCACTTAGGAACCCATTACGTACTGTATATGGTAGAATTGTTTTGGAGTTGTTGTTGAACAGCAGAGGAAAAAACCTTGTGCTGCTAAATGTCAATTTAAAATCATTGTATTTAAAAGCCTGTAATTCTTTTTCATTTTTTTTTCTTTCTGTTATAAAGCTTCTTCCTGAGCTGACGAACCCCGATGAGCTGTTGTCCTACCTGGGTCCTCCTGACCTCCCCAACAACAGCAATGACGACCTGCTGTCTCTCTTTGAGAACAACTGAAGTTTGTCCTCTGCTGGTGTCCTAATATAGAATCTAAATGAGTGAAGATTGGAAGTGGGTTAAACCAAACCAACAAAGCAGCTTCACTGTCTGTGTAAATTGTTAATCTGCTTCACCACCTTTACCACTGTGAGAATCAGAAACGACATCCTATCCCTCAGTTAATTGGTGTACTTCAGGGAAGGACCCTTGATTACCTTAATTTCAAGAACGTAGGTCCCGGACCAAAGGTTCATCCCAGTGCACAAAAACCTCCACATTTACAACACACTGATCCTTACAATAAAGATGTAATCTTTCTTAGTCAGGTCCTAGAAAGGACCTAGAATTCTTTGTGTACACAAACTATCACACTTTCACAGTCTACTTCAACATCTCTTTCAATAAGTAAAAATCCTAGGAAGGACTATTTATTACTTTTTGTAGAACATACAGTAGAAGTGAAATGATTAACTGTACTAAGAATAGGTCCTTGTCTGGAGAAATTTCACATCTCTCTCTTTCTCTCATTTTCATTCCTTCTCTCAGTGGGTGTTGGTGTTGGTGGTTAGATGTTGGAAGCACTCCAACTGCTCTGTACTCTGATGCCGTCTGCCATTTTTAAGCTTTTGAAAGTTCTTCGTATGTTTTGTTTTCTATGTAACAAGCAGCAGCAGGGTGAAGGTAGATGTTCAGTATAATCTGCTGACTTCATACAGGTTTCATCAGATTTAAAGGTGACTTGTGGTCGTTCCTATACTGTATGTTGCTAGTACAAGACAGCGTCATTGCTTCAGTACATATGCTGTAAAATGAGGCCATTCTCACATACAGATTGCATATATACACATACATGATCATCACATACATCTATGATACTTAGCAGGCATAGCAGAAAACACATTAGGATTGTGGATTTTCAAGTTACTCGAGTTTATTCTTTAAATCTGACGATGCCTCAACAAGGCAACAGCAAATGATATTTTAGAAAAACGAATATTGTACTTGGAAACTGTCTGCAAATTTATAAGAAGTTGTTTTTAAATTGTAAATTATTGCACATATTTTGTAACACATTGTAATTGCTATTATTTTCTATTTATTTTTTAAATCATGAGTGTTGTGGTACCTACAGTTATGTTCTTAAAAGTAAAACAGAATCATAATTAAAATCATTTTATTTGAAAATAAAGAGTTTCTTTCTTGCCTTAAAATATTGTTTAAAAAATTTAAATCTTTTTGTACAGAATATTTATACATTTTACTAAATATTGCTTTTTTTGTCTTTTGGTCTAATGCTTAGTTCCATCAAAATTAGAGTTAAATTCATGTATCGACAGTGTAAAATTGGCCCTAATTTTTTCTTCACAAAACTTTGAATTTATTCGTTTTTCTGCTTAAGAACCATAGAATAGCAGGTACATTTGAAAAATACTTTCTGTGAATATAGTCTACATAAAGCCTAAAACATCTAAGCAATGGTGAACTGAACTGTTCCTTTTGAGTCAAAATGGCCGCCGTAGGTGGAGTGCTGGATTCTGTAATCCCGAGACCCCTTCTGTGTGGTCACTGCTGCGGTTCAGAGCAGAACCGGACCGTCCTCTGCTGCTCTTCTTCCTTATTGGTCTATTTTTAAGCCACCAGCAAGCCCTTGGCTCTGATTCGCTGCCATCAGCTTTACGTCAGCGTTTACTGAAAGCATAATATAAATTGGGCTGAAACTGTAAGCTATATTTTGTGTGGAGCGATTTCACTCAGTGAACTGCTGTAGCAGAGATGGGGAATCCAAGAGTTTTTTTCGACATGGCGGTTGATGGCGAAAACGTCGGCCGAATTGTCATGGAGGTGAGGGAATTAACGACTATAAAATAGACACGTTTATTTTTGTTTATTTTGCGATTTTCCGAGCTGGTTTATGTTGTGGTAGACAAGTTGTCAAATGGTTCTGCTCTAAGGCATGTGTCGATTTGATTAGCTCTAAGAAAAAAATAAAAACAGCCTTTCGTGTGAATATAATTGGATGAATTATAACCTAGCGAGATCACATCGCTACCCGCAGGTCTAGAAGGTAGTTCTGCACCTTGGTAACGCCCAACAGCATCAGCAGTGTTATTTTTATCATTACCATCAGCAGCAGCAGGTTCGTCTTCATCTTTATCTTTATCTCCATCCGCCGCAACAATCTTCTCTTCATGGTTTGGATTGTTTTAAGAAAACGACCTCTGTCAATCACACAGGGCTGACAAGTAAATAGACAAATAAGACTGTATGATCAGCAGTAATAAATGTTTCTAAAATCAAATAATTTGTATCATTTTAATTGGTAGCAACGGCACCTGCATTTCCTCAAACAGTATTTCTAGTTAAATTATCCATCTATCCATCAATTTCCCATGGAAATAATTCTACTTTAAGCCAGGGCTTTCAACCAGGGGTGTGTGGACTGCTAGTGGTACGCTATTGCAGGGTGTATGTATCATATTTGTACTTTCATGTTTAAACAATTTTCATGCTCAGTTAAAATGTGGTTCTTTGTTGCTAAAAAGATATCTTTTAGGGACATTGTCAGACATGTTCATATCATTCTGCCATATTTAACTGTTGTCAGGAGGACACAGCACAGGACCGCAGTACTGGGGCACTATCCTGTTGGCATTACCAATGGCATAATCTGATTACTTTATTGTAAATTAGACAAAAATTGACAAAATAATTTTTAATAAAAAAAATTATAATTGATCAAAGTAAATCAGTTTTTTGTTTTAAACCTATTATATTCTATGGCCATTTTGCTTGTGTCAATGTCAATGACACTCATTCTCCATGTCTGGTACCTGGACTTTAAATATTTGAATATTTAATTAGTCATTGGAACACTACACCACAGTGTGACATGGAAGACACTGTTAATGTAATTACTCTGACCTGTTCTCTGTGTTCTGCTGAGCCGAGTTGGCTCAAAGAAACATCACTGAATAACTGGTGTGTGGGGAAAATGAAAGCTACATTTACAGCTGTTATCAGTTAAACATTTCCAAGATGTGTAACAACACAATAAGATGTTTATTAGAATTACTGAACACAGATTGACACATGAACCCCGTGTTGACCACACTCAGAGAGTCCTCATGGTATTCTTGGTATAATTTTCTGGTGTTGCGACAGTGAGTGAAGTCAGGTGCAGGCGACGTATGCTTGACAGCTGAGCCCTGACATGACACAGACTTACATTAGACACATCCTGTTTGCAAAGAGATCTGACAAGTTGTACCACTTTATTTGGAGTAAACAGGATGTGACCCAATACAGATTGTAGTCTCAACTACGTTCCTAGTCTTCCTTTATGGACCGTGACTCTGTTTTGTATTTAACAGTTATCTGTGGAAAATACAAGAAAACACTGCAGATAACAGACACAAATGAAAGAAGACGCCATACATTACTTTCCTTTACAGAACATATGAAGCAGCGTTAGCTGCTCTTGACTGGCAACAGATGAAGGAACTGTCCAGAGAGTCACCAAAGTGAACAGTGGGCAGCTTTAAGGACCAGGGGAGCAGTGTGTGGGGAGTCCACAGCTGGTGGACTCGAACCTAAAGCCTTCTGGTCCCAAGTCCACTTCCTTAACCACTGAGCAACCACTGCCGCACACCTGAAGAACGGTTGACGTCGCTTGCAAGTTGTTGTGAACAGAAAAACCAAAGTGTTGATGTGGAATTAAAAGGCTAACAATGACCACTACTAATGTTTAGATTATGTACGATATTATGTCTCCTCACTTTCATCCCATTGATCAAAAAAAGTCTGCAAGTGGTTTGCCAACAAGTGGTGTGCAGAGGGACTGCAGGGGGTTGTGAAATATTTGTTTTGATTTGGCTATTATACAAATATATATATATATAAGTGTTGGTGTGTGTGTTTGTTTATATATGAATAAGAGACAGACACACACTACATACATAATATATGTATATATATGCATGTCATCTAGCCTGTATTTGAAACTGATATATGGATGTGGAATATTTGGGTATACAGTGCATGTCAATACATCTGATACATCTGATTTCACTAATGAATTAACATCATTAACACTAATTTTGCCGTGTGTTTGTGTGTATATATATATACATAAATATATTTTATTGAAAAAATATATATAGCGAACTTATATAATACTTGCTGTATAACATATCTCCTCCTTATTTAAGTTCATTATTTCATTAAGCTTTATAGTAAACTCATTATAAAATCTCTGTTTTTTTTTCTCTTTCTTTTCTTCCAGCTGCGGGCTGATGTGGTCCCAAGGACAGCAGGTGGGTGCTTCAGCCTCAAGTACACGGCAGAGAAAAGCTCTCAAAGTTTTCCACACGCATCATTAAGTCAGAGAACATCCATGTTTGAGGAAGTGATGTGTCTGTCCTTAATGTAGGCCGTGGTTGATGCAGTGAGCAGAGTAAGCTGTAGTCCTGGCACTGGAGTGTTTCTGTGGATATAAATAATGTTAGGAGTCAGAAGGAAGAGGCAGGTGCAGAGGAAGTCTGCACTCTTTCTTTTAAATTATGAGTCACGGCCTGATTTCTACTCAGAGAAGATCCATGGAAATGAGGTCGCTGAGCTCCTTTTCTGTTCACCATTATATCTGTACTCATCAGAATTAACATTCTGGTGTTTTAGGAAAAAAAATAAAATTATAACTACATAATGTTTAAAGAATAAGTTGCATCTTCATTAGCTCAGTGCAGCGTCCACGTAGAACATCAGATTCATGTGTTGACTTATATGACTGAGTATATAACTGTGAATGTGTCCTTGTTTCCAGAGAACTTTCGTGCCTTGTGCACCGGTGAGAAAGGCTTTGGCTACAAAGGCTCCACGTTTCACAGAGTCATCCCCAAGTTCATGTGCCAGGTACCGATTCAGACTGGTCCTTGCTACGTTCTGGGTTATTGTGACTGCTGACACACATGCTCATTGCTCTTTGTTTGTCTTTATTACAGGGCGGGGACTTTACCAACCACAATGGAACTGGAGGGAAATCTATTTATGGAGAGAAGTTTCCTGATGAGAACTTCCAGTTAAAGCACACTGGTGCTGGTATACTGTCCATGGCTAACGCTGGGCCCAACACTAACGGATCCCAGTTCTTCATTTGCACGGCTAACACTGATTGGTGAGCAGCTGAAATCTTTTGTTTCTGTGTTGTTTATAATGAGACAAGTGGACTGATGTCCGGAGTTATCATTGATTTACAATATTTTAAATACATTGCTTTACAAAAATCACAGTTTTAACTACATCGGTGCATTTTTTTAATCAATTTCTAGCACTTTTTTCAAGTCCTTCATACTGGATATTGAGCATCACTAAAGTAAAACCCTCTACCTACAACGATGGTTCATCAGAAATATAATAGAATTTAACGGTTTAAACATTGTAAATCAGCCTGGGCTGCTGAGCCTCACTGTGATTGGGCTGCAATCAGTATTGAAATGAGAACTTCCTTGGTTTTTAATTTATTGTCCCCGCATTCTAATTGTGTGTCCTCTTCTTTTCCAGGCTAAATGGGAAGCATGTGGTGTTTGGCACCGTAGTTGACGGCCTTGAAGTTGTCAAGGCTATTGAGAAGTATGGCACAAAGAGTGGCACCCCTAAAGCCAAGGTCGTCATAGCAGACTGTGGGGAACTAAAATAGTGCAACACACTCACTTTCCTTCAAACCCTATGCTCTGTTGTCACATGCATGTTGTCCTTTACTCCCCCCTATGTCTGTCATGCTGCACAACTGCAGTATCAGTAGGAAAAATATCTTATCCTATACAACAATGTTGGTCTGCTCTAATTATATCATATTTTTGTCTTTGGATCTGTCCTTATTTATGACCTAAAATATACTAGGTGTCAATGAAACCTATCAATCCCTGCCTTTGTCTCTGCTCTCTTTCTGTCATGATTCAGTTTAAAAAAAAACAACCTGCAGCAACATTTGGGGTGCACTTTTATTTTATACCACTAGAGGTCAGTAAGGAATAGTGTGTGTATGAATATTTATCATTTCCCAAAGACATCAAACCAAATTGGTCTGAGCTTATTTCACGGCTCTCGACAGTTATTGAAATTATTTTTCTACTTCTTCAAGTCAACAAAGACTACTATTTAATTTTTAAATAAACATCAATTTTGAATTATATTATGAAGATGGAACAAAATATCAGGTAGGTTGGTATGCGTCTTTGTCTCGTCTGAAAACAGAGGTTACTTCGTTTGTAAAATGTAACATATATGAAATGTAAATAATAAATGTAAACAATAGTTGACAAAGAGATAATGATAAAACTTGTCCAAACTGAATGAGACCCCTGAGAGACATGTTTTAATTATTAAAATTGGAAATAATGGCATCCATCTTAGAACATTTAAGACTTACATCGGAATTTTGGATTACACTAAGTAAGCCAAAAATATATGGTACAATATAAACTACAAATAGCAAGTACTAGTTGTAAACCGGTTTTACATAAAACAGCACAATTGGTCTGGCATTGTACTTTTTTTTATTATTGACCAAGTACAGAAATTAATAAAACTAAATATAAATGATCAGAGTTCAGTTCAGAGTAAAAACAGAAACACAAGTGTAGAATAAAGGTACACAGATTAAGGCATCAACATGTTTTTTACTAGTGTCCTATTAAAAGTTTCTTAAGAAAAAACACTAAAGAAATCACACTTCCCCACAGAAATGTTAATGTAAAAAAACAAAACAAAGAAAATATAAAATTATAAACGGATTAAAACGGACCTTTAATCAGTCACTGCACAATAAAAACACAATTACAAAACACACATCCAGTACAGCAACGGTGACCACGATAGTTCACAAAAGGTAGATCCTCAGAAAAAAAAAATGTTTTTCTCAAAGTCAAGAATCTGATATTAATAGTAGCACTGGCAGTAGTATCAGTATTAGTGATAGTAGAAGTTAGGTTTTACAGAGTAGAAATTGCACTGTAAGTACTGTTCTTCATTTACACTGTAGAAATGGATCCACAGCCTAGCAGGTGTGAATCTGTGTGTCATTCACTTGGCAAAGAAAAGAAACTGACAACAATAATACTCATAGTGTGTAATACAATGTTAGCCAAAATAAAATAGCTAACCACTAACTAAATCTAAATCTTTCTAAGATTCGACTTCCCTAGAAGAGCAGGCTCTTGTCGTTCCCAAAAGCTCTTCATTTAGTATCACAGGCTTCCTATTTTTGGATTAATTTAGCAATCTAAAGGGGTCTGTGTGTTCTCTAGAATTTATCTTGGGAAATTTCTATTTTAAAAATTCTTCAATTTTGTTAAGATGCAGCTTGCTGCTTAACTGCTTTTTATTCACTTCATCAGATTTAACGGCTCTCAAGTCTCTCTACTGGCCAGCACGACTACACTCGCCGTCCTCGAAGCGTCTGTTCGTTTTCTTTAGTCTATAATATTAAGACCAATTTTTCTTTTTAAAAAAAAAAAAAAATAATAATGACTTTATTGATTACAAAAAGTGATTTATCTGTGTTATTTCTCTCAATTGATGTATAAAAACCTCCTTCCTGATTGAAGTCTTTCACACAGAATCACAACCCGATTTCTTACTTGGCTTCAAACCTGTTGGAAACAACTGAGAGACCTGGTTTAACAAGTTTTCGTAATTAAACCCCATTTGCAATTGTATAATCTGTTTTAGGACTTTTTAATTTGCCCCTACATAAAATCTGGCAGTACATACAAATGAAGCAAAACTCTCTACCTCATGGAGTAGTTAAAACGGCACATGTGACCACCACAAAAGTGTCACAAGCACATACTTGAGGTAAAACACGTCTGCTTAAATTCCAGGTTAGTGCTCCTAGTGTGTATCACTAGCATGAGAATAAACAACACTTTACTGAGGGCAGGACCATAGAGCTGATCACACGACACTCTACTGTAGGGCAGTGTTTAGCTGTTGTAACGGCATGTGTTTGGTGTTACACCCACCCTCCCCCCGGTCAACACACCTTTGCTGGCATATTAAACCATTAACCTCCTCAATGTTTTGTAATGGCTGGCTAATAATGTAAACTTGATGTTAAATACCAGCCTAAAGGTCGTTAACCATTTACAGTGAGTGTTTATGGAACCAGCTATTCTGGATTAGAAGGGTGGGTTTAAAGCACCAATGAGTGGGATTAACTAGCATCAATAATACCATTGATCCCACCCAATGTGTGTATGAGAGGGTAAGTTGTGTGAAAATATAAAAATCTTCCCTATAGTCAATTTGTGATGATCAGTCCCTTTTAAACTGTTGTACAAAAACCATTGGCCGTACATAATAAATGGATGGTGCCGTCTGATGTCAGTCTTAAGTTAGAGAGGGAAACAAGTCTATAAGAACATTCTTTAGTCGAGGACCTTGTTTTGAAGGTGCCACCAAGGTCCTACAGCAGGTTGGATTATTGTTTTGCTCTCGACTTGATTTATGAAAATGTAGGAGAGTGCCCATGTGAAATACTGTCCTTCATTTCATGTCAAGGCTGATGTAGTAGCTGACATTAATAACAAACTGAGGAGTGAGAGGAGGAGCACTCCACCTTTGTGTCATTCTCAGTCTCACTCTTTTATATCAATAGTTCATGACTTTAAATGAAGCCATGTTTCCACTATAGAAACTAGGGTTAGTACCAGGAACTGTGTGTGTGTCCATTGCAGATTAACTAAATGGACACACCACGTCTGTTAAAGGGAACACTCTCTGTCCTGCTACATATGCCATCAAAAGTGTTTTTATATAACTTTTAACCATAAGCGCTTTGGACCAACAACAACATCCAGAGACACGACTGACGGTTGGGATGAACTGCATTTACTGGTAGCACCTAGCTAAGCTAAGCTAGGACAGTGTATATATAATTAACAACTGGTTAGTTCAATAAGCCATGGTGTGAGTGGATATGAATGTGTATATGTGTGAATGTTTATCTGATCTAGTAACTATACAAATGCACCTTTATATAGTATCTAATTCTGGATATGTGAAGACAGCGAGAAATACTCAATACGTTTTGATACTCTTGAGATAATAAAAATACATGAAAAGCAGATCTGAAGTAAGTTATCAATTCTTCAAAGGTGTCTGGGTTCAGTACGATAAAAAAAAACAAAATTTTCATTGGTTTTAGATGAAAACATTTTAGCTTGATTTCTTTATGTAAAGCCTTTTGTCTTTACATAAAGAAATGAATCTTACACTAGTTGAGAGGGTGTGTTCTGTGCTACATTTAATTAGTTCAAACCCACTGATGGTGTCTGCCTGACCACTAGACCTTTGACTAGAGCCTGTACGGGAGATCAAGGCTTCACCCAAAGTTTATCTCAATAAATCGGTTGTCATAAATGAAGATAATCCTCGCCCACACGTGTGGTGAATCAATAACCTAATAATAACTCAATAATGATAAATGAATAAGGGCAAGAGCCTCATCTTCTCTAAAGATCTCCTAGTTTGCCCCCAATTGGAAAATGCAGAGCCCTAAAGTTTTTCAATCCTCTTGGAGCTACTGGTGTTTCAGGCTCCTCGGTGTTTACGTATTCATGGATGACAGACAGGTATGGAGCAGTTTAGACGGACTGTACGGCCAGGATATGACCTCATCACCATCCAGTGGTGTTATTGCTTTGTCAGAAAACAAACCAGTGACAATAAAAACCCAGTGTATAACCACTAATTTAGACTTGCAGACCACCCTCCGTCGCCTCGGTGTCATCACCGGCTGTTACCTGGTGCGTGCACTTGTGTCCACTCACGTCTTCAACTCCTCAGCTCTGTGGGGCCGTCTTGCGGCTCTCTCTCAGGATGCCATCCAGGCCGTTGAGCTGGCGGAGGAAACCGCGGTTGGGGGTGACACCTCGGTGGTCCTTCACTGTCTTGATGGCCTCCACTAGAGTTAGGTTCTGTCTGATCATCAGGTAGGCCAGCACCAGGGTGGCTGAGCGGCTCACACCCACAGTGCAGTGGACCAGCACCTTACCTGTGCAGGAATAGGACATGTGCTGTTACATTGAGGTACAACATGAGTATTTGTTTAATATTTTATATTAACAATTCGCAACAGATGAACTGTTAAGGTTAAACCTAGTTTATCCACTTACACACTAACAACAGCAATCTTTCTGGTAGTACTATGGTACTGCATGGTAAACAGTATGTGTCAACTAAAAGTTCTACTGTTAGTGCAGCGTTCACTCCCTCACCTCCACTTGCCAGGGCTTTGTGAATGAACTCAGCAGCAGGATAGAAGTTTACGCTCATGTCAAAGTTGGGGGAGTCGTGGGCCTCGATGCCATGGTAGGTGATGTTCATCCCAGCGTAACACTCTGCTCCTCCACGCCACTTGCTCTGTGCACAGTTCAGGATGTGAGTGATGCCAAGTTTGACCAGTTCACGTCGATCTGATGCAATCTCCCTGCAGGAGCGAGGAAGAGGAAGATCCTTAAGGTTGTTTATAGTTTATTGTATAAAAACAAATATTCCACCAGCAACACTCTCTAACAGGTCGTTTAAATACATTTGATATGCCATCCTGCAGGGACGGAAGAGCTTCAGACATTGTGTACAACACTAACACCTGTATTATTATTTTTTAATAGTATAGAATCAGCAAAAGGGAAATATTGCTGTGTTGTGTTGTAATTGAATTTTGAAATATTAAAATACGCAGATGGCAGAAGTGATGTCAGACTCAATTCAAAGATTCTCTGCTGTTAGAAGACTGAACAAAGGTGCACTAAGATCCCATCATTGACTGTATGTCTACATACGATCATAGAACTATTGAACAATGACACCAAAAACACATTACCTAATGTACTTCTAAAATGCTGATGATCCATTCGGTCAAATGAAAGATCTTAATAATGATGCATCAAAACATGTTCAAATATTTATTACATAATGCATGCACAAACATCAGAACAAATGAGTGGGGAGGTTTCCCGAACTCACTGGTCTCCTATGTAAAGCCGGGGCCACACTTCATCTGCGTGGTTACAGGCAGTCTTGCCAGTGCAGAGGAGCCGCTCCAATTCAGACACAGTCAAAATTGGTGAGACCCGTTCAGAGTCTTTTCGGTTGGGGGACCTGGAGCTACTCCGGGACCGGGAGAACCGGGACATGAACGCCATTTAAACTAAAAATAAAGATAAAGAAAAAGGAGAATACATCCGCTTTATCATGTCATCACATGAAAACAACATTTGATGATTAGTCATTGTCTGTGAGCAACAAGAGCTAAAATATAAAGGGAATCTTAAAAGGAAAACTTGCTGAAGGTTTTACACTTTTTGAATGACTTCATTGACAATTCATTCACTTTCTTGATTTTTTTTTTGATGGATTAATTGACTAATCGAAACAATTTGCTGCTCATTTATCATTCATACCGTTATCAACTCTTGCAGCCACTATTTACACGTTAAAAGAGTGGACAAAAACGCCACCAATTGAATGGTATCTTATATAACATGTGTTTTACCTGTAGCTTTGTTTTGGTGGACACTCAGCCTGGTCTGCGCTAGTCTGAAAATGTGAACGTTTTAAAAAGGATGCAGACTGACCCTGCGTTGTCCAACTGGTGTCCTGCTGTGTTTTTATTCGTGGACTGTCCGTGTCTCGGTGCCGTTACAGGGCGAGCTGCTCCGCGGCCATATTGACTCATTTATTTGCTGTGAGTAGACGAGGTGGAAGAATGAGAAGACTACTGCTGCTGCTGCTGCTGGTGGTGATGATGATGATGAGCATCCACCACACAGCTTCAGCATCTTTTCCTCAGGTCCACAGCAGGAGGCGTCATCACTCTGTTGTAAAAACCCAGGAAGATATCGCCACTTTTTAATGCTGCAGCACAAAGATCCACCTTAAGACGGGATAATAAAGGAGTATATATTTATAATTTATATATTCAATGTTGAACATTCACGTGACCAAAATATAATGGAAATTGCATGGATTTGTCGCCATCTGCTGCTCAGAATGCGGAATGATAAAGATATCCCACGTCTATCCGAATTCCGGAAATCCCCTGCATATTAACAGCGGCTCCCAGATGGTCGAATCACAAACCGAGTAAAAAGGACAGGGAAAATTGACTTTTCTTTGTCGGTGTCCACTAACATACTCTGAAATTAGGCGTAGAGATTTATTGATTATTTTATATTTATGATATATATATTTATTCGTAATATATATATAATGTAATTGAACCATTATTAAATCTTTTAGCAAAATCATTCAGAAATATTACACCCAATTTCTGTATCTTAAAAATATAAATGTTTTCACTGGGAATTGCGGTTTTGGGGGAAAACATTACACGAAATGCAGCGCCTCAATACTTGCTTCCGTAAAATGTCTGCGACGTAAATCAGTATGTGACGTAGTAATCTTGCGACGCACATGTGAGCGTGAAGTGGTGAAGAGATGGCTTCGGAGAGATTACAGTTTCATGAAATGGGCCTAGACGACCGTCTTTTAAAGGTAATACAAAACAAAATGCATTACAGCCTTTAAAAGACGAGAGGAGACGTTGCAGATATTGTATAGTCAGAAACTCTAGTGACTCTAGTGTTTTTGTAGCTGTGTAAACATTGTTGTCGTTGCATGTCTACGCAGTCGACTGTTATGCTAGACTTTTTAAAAAACTTTAGCCGACAAAATGACACCGGGTTTGACATAATCTATCGTTAATAACGCAGCGAATAATGGTGAAATACTCAAAAGACATCAGATGACCTGTTAGAGGGACAAAATAAATATACGCTAGTGTAACATCTCATGAAATGCTGTCTAAAAGTACAATTTGTAGTATTACAAGACTTACGAACCACAACAGGTATCCAGAACAGTAGTAGGAATTGATCAAAAAGCGACAAAATGAGTTTGACGGCTTCTGATGTCAGAAACTGTAAGAAAAACCGTGTTGATAGCAAAGAAAACTGGCACTTTAACAACAGATCGATAACTCCAAAGATATTTGTCTAATGCAACAGAGACACTTCTGTACTCTTACATGACATCCAAACTGACGTAATAACAGTGACCAGAAACATTGGTGATCATTGGCTTCTTTTTGCACTGGGATTCTTCAAAAACCTGGTACCATGTGGTGAAGTGTAACATTAGGTTTCAAACAATTAGTTCAAAATGTGTTAAACCTCATGATAAAGTTCTTCTGTATGTCAAATCACAGTTAAGATTTTTGTCTTTTTGACATCTATTTGATGATGCAGGCGGTCGCAGATCTGGGTTGGTCCCATCCCACACTGATCCAAGAGAAGGCTATTCCTTTGGCCCTGCAGGGGAAAGACCTGCTGGCTCGAGCTCGGACTGGTTCTGGAAAGACGGCTGCTTATGCGATCCCTCTCATACAGCGTATCCTGGACTCTAAGCAGGTCATTGGACACCTTTGTGTGTATTGATTACTATGCTTAATGCAGTGGATATCATAAATAACTGTAGTCTTTCAACAAAAAAACAGAAGTGTATATATCCTGTCAGTCTATGTCAGTGTGCTCAGTGAGTCTGTGTGTTCATAGTGAGGATTTGTAAATTCAATGGTTCAGTTCATTCAGACTAAGTATTGTACAAACACCGGCTCTACTGGACTGGACTCCCATCAGAACATGTTGGAAGTGTGAATTTACCTACATGAATGTATGGAACTTTATTTACATGATGGAGAGGAAGGCAGCAGTGAGATACTCGTGCAGCTTCGTTGGAGAACCCTAAAACAGCGTTCGCACTTCAAACACATTAGCCGTCATCTTCATACCAGCTTGGTTCTGTCATCCTCAGAGTGTTCGTGAACAGGAGGTCAGAGCTCTGATCCTGGTGCCGACAAAAGAGCTGGGTCGCCAGGTTCAGACCATGATAAGACAGCTGGCCACCTACTGCCTGAGGGACGTGCGAGTGGCTGACATCTCAGGAAAGGCAGATTTGTCTTCACAAAGGTCAGTCCTGTCATATAAAATGTGTATCCTGCTGTGACGTCTGTGGCTGTAAGGATCTTAATGTAATGTAATAATCGATTTTAGATTAATAAATAAATAATCTACTGTCACCTGATAAAGACTGTAGAGAGGTTTCTTACTTTTTCTTTTCACTGGACAGACCAATCCTCATGGAGAAGCCTGATGTTGTTGTGGGGACACCGTCCCGTGTGTTAGCTCACCTCAACGCCAAGAACCTGGTGCTGAATTCTTCCCTGGAGACTCTGGTGGTGGACGAGGCCGACTTGCTCTTCTCTTTTGGGTTCGAGGCTGACCTGAAGAACTTGTTATGGTGAGAATGGACTTCTTCTGACAGCACAATACATCAGTACAGGCTGTCTGAATATTTTTCTTATTTAATTCTAGAACGTCTAATCTAAGAATATCTAAACTACAATAATTTGAATAGACTCTGTTTTAAGTTTGGTAGAGCAGTCTGTCTGTCAGTCTCAGTTTTAAATACTACTCTCTTGTACACACCTTTAGATCATTTCCTTTTTTTCCCCGACTCGTCAGTTCTTCTCTTAAATCAGATTATTCTTGCGTTTGTTGTTTCAGTTATTTGCCAAAGATCTATCAGTCCTTCGTGATGTCTGCCACTCTCAATGATGAGGTTCAGGCCCTGAAGGAGCTGCTGCTGCACAACCCGGTAATTCTACTGCCAACTGATAAATGGGCAGAAAGTACACAAGTGCTGACTTGGTCTACTATAAAGGGAGTAAATGTAAAATCTAACCTCTAATTTACAAGAGAAGTACCGTACTAAAGAAAGAAAATAATGTGTCACCATCATTGCTCACGTCCTGTAAAGTGAATGCTACCTACAATTATGCAGTGTTAGCAAGCTAGCAACATCTAATATGTCAAACAGTTGTTTGGTAGTTGAGTTAATACAAATATTCAATAATGTAATGTTATATCATATATTCACACGGATATTGACTGTGAGTTGATTGTCTCAGGTCGTTCTGAAGCTGCAGGGCTCTCAGCTGCCAGACAGCAGCCAGCTGCAGCAGTACAGCATCAAGTGTGAGGAGGAGGACAAGTTCCTGCTCATCTACACACTGTTAAAGCTGCAACTGGTGCGGGGCAAGACGCTGATGTTTGTTGGAACGGTGGACAGAAGTTACAGACTAAAACTGTTCCTGGAACAGTTCAGTATTCCTGCCTGTGTGCTCAACTCGGAGCTGCCAATTCAGTCAAGGTAAAATAAGATTTTTTTTCTTTTTTTAAAAAACGTAGTGAGAATGTGTTTTGTACCTTTTTTTTAAAAACGTAGTGAGAATGTGTTTTGTACTGTCTCGGTTCACCACACAGTAAAAATACTATTCTATATTTTTTGAAATTCATTTTTTAGGACATAATGGATTTCTGTTAAAAGTGTAAAAAAAACAGCAAATTGTTCTGTCAATGTTAGTGAGACCCAATTGTAAACAGGTGGTCACTGCTACAGTAGCAGTTTATATGGCTTTGATGTTGTGGCTGTGGCTTTGATATCTTGCAACTGTTGCAGATGTGTGCCAACCTCTGTCGGCCGTCTGTAAAATATATATATAAAAAAAAACGTCAAAGGCCAAAGTGGAGTACAGGAGAGTTGTTAAAAAAGAGGGAAATGATTAGATTAGGTCCACTGGGGGGCAGTGGTGCTCCACTTTTCTTTTGAAGCCTTTCTTTTGTGAGTTCTCTTTCCATGTGACCCAGCGTGGTTACGTCTCAGAAGTGTTGGCACATTCAAACTGTTTTGCAATTTCTGTTGTTTTTGTTGATCTGGGATCCTCCCTGGCCGCACACCAGCTGTACTGCACAACATCGGCCCCATATTTTCTGGTGGTACTACTGTGTTTCACATGAACACAGACCACACCCCAAGAACAGGGAAGAAGAATAGTATAATGGGAGAAAAATGAAGGTCTCCTCTGCATTAACCAGCATCAAACTGTTGGTTTTTATTTTGCTCTTTTTCTGTTCAATTCAAACGGTCCACCTGGAGAAAAGCGTAGTGATTGATTTAGAGGATGGAGAGGAGTACGTCCTGTCAGGCTCCCAGCTGTTCTGTTACCAAAACAACATAGAATCAACCTGGATGGAAAGTTGGACAAGAATACAGGTCAAAGTGTGGAGTTCTGACTGGTTCAGGGTGAAGATTGTGGACGAGGAGGATCATCAGCATGAAGTGGAGTCCTTCGTTTTATGGAGATGGTTTCAGAGATGTTTAAATGAACAGCACAAAGAAGCCAGCATTGGAATCAGTCTGTCCAACAAAAAGACTTGCTTCAGGATTGATCCTTCAACAAATGGTCATTACACACTCAAACCTCTTTGGCATTTTGATGTTCCTCTCTTTTTGGTTTTCCTCTATGGAATATTATTGTTAGTCTTTGCAGATTCACTCACCCGGAGTCAGATTTTCTTTTACTTTGCTGGGATAAGTACAGGCTTGACCTTCTCCGTCATCATCCTCGTGTTTATTCTGACACGATTTATACCCAAGAAGGTCCCCTTTTATTTTTTAATAGCAGGGAGCTGGTCGTTCTCTGTCTACGTCGTTCAGCTTCTGCTTAAAAATATCCAAACAATACTGCGAGAACACTGGGCGTGGGTGCAAGGTTACATCGCAGTTGTGGGATTCATCAGTTTTGCTGTGTGCTACCACCATGGACCTCTGACTGAAGAGAAGACCAAGGACATTATGTCGTGGGCTCTGCAGCTGTTGGGTCTTTTCCTCATTTACTTTGGTTGTCAAATCCCCCAGGTTGCCTACGCTGTCATGGTGGCAGCTTTGTTCGCTAAAAATCTGGAGTGTTTGGCTTCTTCGGTTTTCAGAACATTGGTAAAATTCACACAGTTAGTGTTCTGTAAACCAGAGTGTGGTGGACTGTTGACGTGGGGCCAGGTAGAGACCCTGCCTGCATTTGAGGAGCAGAGGAAGTGTTGTACTGGCCCACTGTACAGCCCTAAAAGGTTTGCCTGCTTCGCTGAGTCTTCCCGCACGATGTGTAATGAGCCGTCAAATGAACATTACTTCAACCTTGAAGATGATTCCTTTTTCACTGAGGATGAAGAAGACTGAAAACATTTGGTAAGAGCTAGAGTTAAAAGCTTTAAAGAGATGTACAACTAAGAGTTTTTATTAGTGTAATGTAACGATTCATCATGAATCGATTCAAATGCCTGATGATTGCATCGATTAACAAAAAAAAAAAAAATCACAATGCATCTTAAGGAGTAGGCTGATATTGCAAAAAGTCACTGGTTATGCCCTGAGACTACACTCTCCAGTACAGGAGGTGGCGTTATGCTTGTGAGTGACTCGCCATTAAACCAAGACATCACGTCACTACGTCACCTGTGTGACATTTCAGTGTTCGAACAGAGCGTAGGCCACAATGGCCGCGGTGAGCCTTAAATTATCTTTATACTAAAAATTGTTAGTTTAGTCCGATTAGTTGCACTCTTCACGTACAGGTAACACATGCTCATTTACTTAATTTCTTAGAAAAAGTTGTTCCAATCAAATTGATTGGAATGCGACTTCACAGTCACGGTCCTGACAGTTGACAGTGTGAATATCATCCTTTTATACATCACAGGAGGATAAAAGTCAGAGAAGGCCAGTGTCAGTTGGAAGAGTAAAGAGAAAAGTATTGCACCTTTGTACAATGGCTAAGTGTTCTAGTGTTCTAGAAGCTTCTTTGGCAGATGTTCTATCTCTGTTATGTGTCAATTGGGACAGTCAAGAGGACCGTTTTGCACCATTTGCTTTTTATGTCTTCAACTTCTGCTGTAGCGCCCAAATCTTAACATGGCCTTGCACTTGCAACTACACCCTGGAAGCCTCCTGACCTCAGGGTCTTGGACCTACAGGGTCCAGTTCATTGTGGGACAAGGAGCCTTTGGTACTGTGGCAAAATGTACGAGGACAGCTGACATGAAGACGGTGGCGATCAAAATTATGAAGACTGAAGGAATTTACATGAAGCAGGCGAAGGAAGAAGTAGCAGCCCTAAAGAGGGTCGTATTGCTGGACCCTGAGCGAAGCAACATCGTTCGTTGGTATGAGGAGTTCATCGACAGGGGCCACTTCTGTCTGGTTTTCGAGCACCTGGACAGAAGTCTGTTGGACTACATGAAGGAACGATATTTCCAGCCCATGCCTCTGAAGTACATCAGACTGATTGTCCAGCAGTTGGCCAGCACACTTGACCATTTTAAGGCTGCCAAAATAATACACGCAGATCTAAAGTTGGAGAACGTGATGTTGGTGAACCACCAACAGGAGCCTTTTAGAGTCAAAGTTATTGACTTTGGACTGTCCAATTTGGTGTCTGGTGTTGTGGTGGGCTCCTACATCCAGACTCGTCCTTACCGCTCCCCGGAGGTCATTTTGGGACTCCCTCTGACGGAGGCCATAGATATGTGGTCTCTGGGATGCATTGCTGCTTTCCTGTATCTCGGGAACATGCTGTTCTTTGGAATGAGCGAGTATGACATGATCCGGGACATTATGGGAATTCAAGGGAAGCCACCTGACAGCATGCTCTCTGCTGGCTGCAAAACCACACATTTCTTTCAAAGAGACTCCACCACGTGTGCTTGGAAACTCAAAACACCGATGCGGTATCGTAAAGAAACGGGGATGATGGCCACTATGATGAGGTGGTCAAACCTGACCTCACTTGATGACCTGCTGCATTTCCACGTTCTGTGCGGTTACAAGAAAGCAGACCTGGATGCTCAATGGGATGATGTACAAATGTTTGTTGACATGCTAAAAAGGATGCTACAGCTTGATGCAGCTAATAGGATAGCACCTCATCAGCTGATAATCCATCACTTCATCAGTATGGACTACATTATAGACCTGTACCCAAAAAGCCATTACGTCAGGTCGTGCATTCAAATGATGCTTATCTTCTGGAAAAGGAACGGTGAAAACACTCTGAGAGAGCCAAGGCAGCAGGGGTGTTTGAGTCACTTTGACCAGCAGAGAGTGAAAGAAAGGAGAGTTCATGTTGACCACTATATCGCCACTGACAAGAGCGCTTACCATGACAGGAAGCTGCTCAGATGCATCTGCACCAGCAACCATTTCCTCTACAGAACATGTAACCACAGCCTGGAACTGGAGCTGCACCCCCAGAGGATGAACATTGTTGGGTTTATAAAACTGATACCAACAATACTTATTAGCTCTGATACTTATCGATACTGTTACTGATACTTTTTCTTAATGAGGCTGACATTTTTTAAATAAAATAATTCTCATAAAGCGAGTCCAGGTACCGACTGACCTTTAATGCATTTTTCAATGTTGCTGTAACTCACTAGTACAAGAAGACAGTTGTATGATGTCCTCTGTCTACCTGAAGGGACGAATGACACGGTGAAACAAAGCGTTCAGAAAAGTTAAGAACTGACGCAACATCAACATGTTGAGTCTTGTGTTATTTCCTGAGGACATCGGTGTCTTTAGTCTGTGGTTGTCTGTCCCAGAAATCAGTATAACTCAGGAGTCCGTTTGGACTGAACAGAAATAAATGGTATGAATACAGTGGGATACATGTACGTTTTAAAAGGTCCCCATTGTAAATACCTGTACAAATAAAAGAAGATTGTGAAGGTTGTGTTGTTGGTTTGAATGTCAATACAGTGGCTGAACTCCGGATGTGCTGGAAGTTCTTGCACCTCATCCCATATGTGTATATTTCCATATGGAAAGTATTCTTAATTATATACACATCGATATCCTGATTCTGTTGACTTTTGAATCGTAAAGGATCGGGCTTGTAATTTGAAGGTTTCCAGTTTGAATTCCTGCCACGACGTAGTGGGTAGAGCAAGGAACAAACCCGTCCCCAGCTCTTTGATCACGATGGAAGCGCAGTCAGCAGCCCTTCCGTGTCTGATGTCATTTGCCCTGGTGTTACATGGATAACTAAATAACTTACTGTATAGTTAGGGTACAATTATTGCTAAAACAGAAAATCTGAGCAGTCGTACATCACTTGTAGGGTACCCCCAAATACTGGCAGGGTATTTGACCAGGTTACTGTTCACATGTGTATCATGTACATTTGATCATGGCATTGATCGTGACACCAGTCTAAGAAGCCCAGCAGCTAGAACTGAGCTCTCTGTCTGTTTGCACAGTGACGACTTGTTTGATTGTTACCATTCATCACACAGTGCTGCTGCTGCTGCTGCTGCTGCTGCTGCTGCTGCTGCTGCTGCTGCTGTTGCTGCTGCTGCTGCTGCTGCTGCTGCTGCTGCTGTTTTTTTTTGTTAAAGTCATCCATTGGTTTACTGCATTATGACCAAGACTTTCTGACCCCTTGACCCCAGGTGTCACATCATTACCCAGTTCAACCAGGGATTTTATGACTACATCATCGCCTCAGATGAACAGAGTCTGGCTGATCCCACTCCAGCCGCTCAGACTGCATCCAGCAAAGGGAAGAAGACGCCAGCAGGGAGAGGAGCAAAGTAAGTTGGTTTTTCTGGTGACACCTTGACATGACAACGTAGTGACCTTATATTTGTTTGGTACCATCCCACATAACCATGAAACCATAGTGTTGCACGCTGGCTAATGTCGTTGCTCACTAACCTCTGGGGTTCTCTATGTGTCTGTGTTTAAATAATTAAAATAATTACTAATAATTTAAACAATATTGATCACATATTTGGGAAATTCTTTTGTTAGCTGGACAAGACTTGTGTTAAATGACACATATTCAAACAACAGACAGGTTTGTAAACTGTTTTTGGTTGGTTTAGGAGGTAAAGATGTAGATCATCCAAAGTTAGTCACCGACAGTCGTCTGCAGTTTATTACAGATGACAATCCATTTCTACTTCCTCCAGTGTTTACTTATTTTGACAATAAAAAACTCCTGTTAAGTTTTGTTACCAACTGATGCATTGTTCAGGAACAAAGACAAGGAGTACGGTGTCTCCAGAGGAGTGGACTTCCAGAATGTTGCCAGCGTCATCAACTTTGATTTCCCCTCATCTGTGGAGTCCTACATTCACAGGGTTGGAAGGTGGGGCTCGTTGCTACTCCCTTGTGTTTGCCGTTCACTTTGGGATCAGGGATTTTTTTTTCACGTCTTCTCTGGTGTTTGCTGTGTTTCCTCCTTGTAGAACGGCAAGAGCAGACAACCCCGGCACCGCTCTGTCGTTCATCTCGCACACGGAGCTTGGGCTGCTGGCTGAAGTGGACCAGGCTCTAGCAGGAGGTCAGGAGGTTCACTCTACACCAGATTGTTTTGTTTTTGTCTGTGCTAAAGCATACAGCAGGCTGATACTCTGGTCCGTTTTAACATGATGACCTTCGACCTTACTGACATGTCTGTACTTCTTTAGATAACGGACAGAGTGTTCTAAAACCATATGCGTTTAAGATGGAAGAGATTGAAGGCTTCAGGTACAGGTGCAGGGTGAGTATGGTCGTACGTCACACACCTGGTGTTTGTCAGTGTCGTTAACTACCTTTGCTAAGTGGTTTTTTAAAAAAAAAAATGCTTTCACTTTGGTACAACTAACACCAGCCGTAGTACCAACAGTGATATGTGTACCCTAGTTTTAGAACCAGAGCTGCACACAATCAAATGGCCTTTCGGGCTTTGTGTGGTGAATGAGAGAAAAGACTGTAATGTTGGTTTGTAGGACGCCATGCGCTCAGTGACGAAGCAGGCAGTGAAGGAGGCCAGGCTGAAGGAAATCAAACAGGAGCTGCTCAATTCAGAAAAACTCAAGGTGAGAGTCGCTCACTCAACAGAAGGCTTTTCTTCAGGTTTCTTCTAGTTTGAACAGTTTTTTTTGTTTTTTTACCTTGACATGTAAATGTTTTACAGTTTTTTGTTTTTTTTACCTTGACATGTAAATGTTTTTCAATATTGTTTGTGTTTTAGTTTTATTTTTTTGCCATGCCTTCCCACGTCTATAGTCTAGCGCTTTTACTTCATCCCTGTGTACGAAATGCACCGTCCAAATAAAGATGTTTCCTCGTCGTAGACTTACTTTGAGGACAATCCCAAAGACTTGCAGCTGCTCAGACACGACAAAGACCTCCATCCTGCTGTGGTGAAACCCCACCTTAAGAATGTCCCTGACTATCTGGGTAAGACACGACTACAACATGGTATAGTGTCCTCGAGGTTGTCCAAATCTCAGACTTTGACTGGTTGTGATATTTTCCTTCAGTTCCTGAGTCTCTAAAAGGAGTGATTAATACACTGTCCAGCAGACGGAAAAGGAGAAGGAAGGAAATGTCCAAACCTGGAGGAGTCATTAAGCCTAGTTTTAAGGTAAAGTTCACTTGACACATCTGGGTCCCTATAGAGCACGTGTGTCAAACTCAAGGCCCGGGGGCCAAATGTGGCCCGCCAAGTCATTTTGTATGGCTTGGTGGAGCTTAAAAAGCATTTAATAAAGTTCATAGTTTCTTAACCTGATAAATGGATGTGGCGCTCTCCACATCAGACCTTGTGCTTCAATCATTTTCTGTCTTTTTTAGAGTAACAGCAGGGGAGCAAATCCACTGAAGAGCTTCAAATACAACAAAGGCCGAGGCAGGAAAGGCAAAACAAATAAGTCATAGCAGCAGCTGCAGGAAAGAAGAAGATGAACTTCAGTGGCTGAAAACGGTGCAGACATTAAACCCAGAGAGACAACCGTTGTCCACCATTGATGGACCAGCTGAGACAACCAGTAGAGGTTTTAACTGACCACAGTGGACCTGGACTGGATCTATGGAGAAAGAGGAGAAAGTCTTCTGGCTTTAGTCAAAGCCCAACAACTGATATTAATGTCTGCAAAAAAAGCTTTTCATGTTTTATTCCTACTTCACCTTCTTTGTTGTGTTGTAAAATAAATTTAATTACTTTCTCACACTCTCCATGTTTTTGACGCTAAAACATATATATATATGTATATACATATATACAGTATATACAGTATATATAGATATATGTGTGTGTATATATATATATATATATGTATATATATATATGTGTACCTTATTATTAGTTTGAAACACAAAATAAAAAACAAACTGAGCTGGTGTATTTCAGACAATAATGTGTGTTTAATAAAACTGCATTCACCAGAACAATTAAACAGATTCATGTGGGACCAAATATCAAACCTGCTAACTACTAAAGAAACGTATGTTAATACGTTAATTTTAATAAATGCCCTTCTTTGTACAATTTCTTTTTTTTTTTAATATAACAGAAACCCATAAAAACACGAGCCCTGTATTCTCTGCTCAGCAGAGGTTTTCAATTCTTTGTCAAATATCCGTCAGAAAACTTTGATGTTTTTTGTTGTTGTTGTTTGGTTGTGGAGGTAATGACCTCTGACCTGGAGTCTTATGTGAAAAGTCTACACCTCACAAGAGTCACTGCCGTGGGTCATTTGGTACCAGGCCGCACAGGAAGAATGCATAAGTTGGATTATTTCTGTTGTATTTATTTTCTGATTCTGAACAAAATATTATTTTGAAAAATCTATTAAGGATTGGTCCTTAATAGATTATTCATGATTAATGTGATTAATCCACAGCTGGACTTTGAAAGCCCTAGTTTTTGGGAGTGTGAATTTACCTGAAGGACCCAAACCTACAGAGCAGTGGAGCAGCTGACCAGCAGCTCCCGTGTGTCTGTCTGGTAATAAAAGTAGGATTTTCCATGATCGACATTGGTAAAGATTTTAGTTTCCAGCCTCAAATGTCTTAGGGTGTGAGACGATACGATATGAACTGCAGCCTAAAGTCGGTGTAAACCTGACCTGAACTGTCAGGCACTGAATCCTGAAAGATAAATCTGTTGTGATAATTGTATATCTGTGTGATTGGAGATGAGCTGTGGTGATAATGTGACACGACTCTGGACTTGGACAGTGCAATTACTAGTCAATGCTGAATTCAAAGGGATAGTCCTGTGTGGGCACTGACTTGAAGACAATGCTGTCAAATGGGTTCTCAGTTGACCAGTAGTCCACAGGAAACCAGGAGTCAAACCAGGAAGTTGTTCTCTCAGTTTCAGGTGTTGTAGTTGTGGTTGTTGTGGTTGTAGTAGTTGTAGTAGTAGTAGTAGTAGGAGGAGTAGTGCCGCTCAGTCTGGCTCTTAGTTTCTTCAGACGCAGCCGTCGTAGACGCAGCCGTCTGAGTCGCTCCATTTTCTGGGAGTGGACGCGATTTTCCGTCACAGCCACAGGACTGGCTGTCGTGGTCTTCACCACGTTTGACTTGGTGATCAATCGAATGGGCCTGTTGCCCTTTAGCGCCATTATCTGCTTGATTCGATCCCAGTTGGACTTAGTTAGGGCGAAGCTGCAGGGAGTGGCTCCGGAGTCGTAGCCCACCATGCACAGTCTGGTCTGCGGGTTGTAGCCCTCAGCCTTGGCCGTGACCTTGTACTCGCCAGGATTCAGGAGCCGCCAGTAATCACCACCTGCCGCTGAAATACAGAGTAAACTGGTGAGAACAAGGACTTACAGTCAGATACAGAACTGGAAATGTATTTCACACTGGTTACTACGAGTATACCTGTGGTCACGTCATGCCATATTCCCTCCACAGATATTGTGGCGTTGGACACTGGGTTTCCCTCCACATCTCTGACTATGCCCTTTATACCACGATTAACCTGCAGAGGGAGCAGTGCTGTTAACACTTTTATCCCATGATCACACAGAGAATCAGAATCAGAATGACCTCATGAGCATAGAAAAGAACGACAACGATTAGCATTAGGAATGACTTGCAGCAGGTTTGACTGTCTACGATAACTCGATAACACTCACACCCCACATGTGTCAAATCAAGGCCGTGGGGCCAAATGTGGCCCGCCAAGTCATCTCGTTTGGCCCGCAGAAGCTTAAAAAACATTTAATAAAGTCCATGCAGCAGAGTTTCTGAACCTGATAAATTAAACTTGAATAAATAATAATAAATTGCAGAAACATTTATTAATACGTTATGGAATAGTTACAGCCATACAGTCTTCTATTTCCAACCGGCCCTTCAGGGTAACAGTAGATGTAGTTGGTGTTGCTGATGTGACCCCCGGTGAAAATGAGTTTGACACCCCAGCTCTAGACTTTAAAGCCACCTTAAAGTCATTATTAGGTTTATTTTACTACACGGATTGAAACGATTGTACAAATGACTGCTGCTCTCACCTGTTCAATGAAGGACAGCAGAGCCTCGCGGTTGTTCTCCCACTCCAGTTGCAGTTCACTCTCATGGGGAAACTTGTCACAGCCCAAAAAGACGGAGAGCTCCAAGCAGTTGGTGTGCAGGTAACTGAAGTCATTCATACCTGTGAGGACAGAGAAGAATGGGAGTCTACATGAGAACCCAATTCAAACCCAATTCTTTTCCACGTTCCAATAGCGTGAAGTGAATGGACGGCAGTTCTACCTCCAGAGTGACCGAGCACTTACTGCCTACTACTGGTTTCCAACTGGCTCTGTTCACGATGGCCTGACCCCCGGTGACATCATCACCGTGGCAGGAGCCTCTGTAAGTCTCCGTCATGGTCAGGTGGCTGTGTGCGTAAGACATGGCCAACCATCGGAACATGGTGTCGTCCGGCGTCTCCCTCAGACCGCCTTCATTTTGCCGCTGAACTCGAGCCCAGGTCTCCTCGCTCATTTCAGGATTATTCCTCCACCGCCTGTTGTCGGTTACCTTAAAGACATCAGTTGATTGATCAGTGCACATACATGAATGCTCGATGAAGCAGCTTTTCGACTGCAGTAGACCGAGTTCTTACAGATACAGGAGGACGCTGCATATCAAATGGGTACGCCACCAACTTTTCTCCTCCTTGCAAATTTGCTCCGAGCACAAAAGGATTGCGTTCCATCCAGGAAATGATGGCTTTAGTCTCAACTGCCAGCTGGGAACAGAAAGAAAATGTAATTGACAATTACGACTGGCCCAAACTGTCACTTACTGAAGGAAAAACAAACAAAACCACTCACAGAGCCGTTGAGGGAGTTTTCAGGGAGCGGGATGTGATGGTTGGGCACGATACGAGGAACCCAGCCTCTGTCTTCAGCACCCCACAAGATGGTGTTCAGGTCGGGGAAGTTCTGGAATATGTCGTAACCTTCTTCGGTCCAATGGCCGAGGCCCCAGTTTCCCATCTCTGAGCCCTGAATGGACAGAAAAGTGCAGTCGAGTCTTTGACATTGTGCTGGTACCTGTAGGTGTTTGTGAGCCGTGACCAAACAGTGACCCCTGTTGGCTCGTACCATTTCATAGGCCAGCTCGTAGGCATCAGGGTTGAGTGAGGGTACCAGATGTATTCTCACTCCATCCACAAGGCGGCGCACTCTTGGATTGTCATCATTGTATTCCTTGCACAGAAACTGCATCAGCAGGAGAACCAGCTCCCTTCCCAGCACCTCATTACCATGTAGACCAGCGGTGTACCGGAACTCTGGTTCCCCTGGTGACAACAAACAACCAATCAAACTGACCAATCAGCGACAAAATGTAACAGGTGCAAAACATTTAAATAAAAAGCATTGACATTGGACTGTTTTTTATTCTGACGTTGTGGTACAGCTGAAAATATTTAAAATACCTTTAATTTTACTCTGTTTTTTGTCTGATTTGAAAAATCTACACAATGACAAAAAGATTGATGCAATATACACATACGGTTCATATTTTTTCATGCAGCTTCACGTCAGTTCCCTCCCCCCCCACCCCCTCCTACCTGTCTCATGCTCTCCTGGGTTGTCAGAGATCTCCATTGCATACATCTTCAGGCCCTGGTAACTTTTGCCAATGTTGTAAATCCGCGTGATGTTGGGACACTCTTCGTTGATCACCTTCATCATCTGCAGATGTAAGAATGTGGGAGAGAAGACGTTGGTAAATTTGACGTCAGCACCAAAGTCATCCAACGCTCCGACCACAGCCGACCTGTCTCATCTCCTTGTAGTTGTGATGTCTGAAGTCCAGGGCGTCTGAGGCGTTCACCTCGTTCTCGCTGTGATAAATGCCTGAAAGAAACATTTCTAATCATTTTTACATAAAGTATTAATCAACTGATCTAGAGCAGAGATGTCAAACATATGGCCCGTGGGTGAAATCCGGCCCACTTGATGAATTTTGAAAGTGAAAACAAATGCAGGAAACATATGTCAAACATATGTTTTGTCAAATTACATTTTATAGAAAATGCAGGAACACTTCATGTTGGTGATGTTTTGTCAAATTACATTTTATAGAATAAGAATATTTTCTAATATACTTGTACATATTGCAGGAAAACAAAGTGGTGGAACTTGTTATTGGACTTGTTATTTATTGGTAAATATGTTATGATTGTACTGGTCCGGCCCACTTGACATGTAATCAGGCTGTATGTGGGCCCTGAACCTAAATGAGTTTGACGGCCCTGGTCTTCTGGTGTGTTGTGTGATACTAACTGGGCAGTTGACAGGCCAGGATCTCAGCTCGGAGACAAAGGCTGCCGTTCCAACTCTGGGGAAGGATACGGATGTAACGCGCCACGACAGGAGTCAGAAACTGGTTTATCACCGGTGTGTCCCTGTCCACATTGGCATAAAACAGCTAGAGACAGACAGGGATAAAAGTGAAGTGGTGAGTTAAAATCTGTGAGGCAGTGGCATCAGTTTTCTTCTCCACGACAACGTCCTCTCACCCATTCAGCGTATCCATCATGAAGCACAGTCCAGTCACGGCTGTCGTTGCTGAAGCCCACAAAGTAGGAGGACACAAAGTCTTCACTAGGAAGGAGATTAAAATGGTCAGAGAAAAGTGTGAACTGAGATGTAGATGTAGGCTTCAACCTCATTCCAATTTTAAACAAAAAAAATCACAGGAATAAAAGCTTCTCCATGTCAGGTTGATGTCTACTAGTTTAGCTTTGGCTAATGACGCTAAAATGGCATTAGCATTTAGCTTGAGCACTTGGTGTAGATGTAGTCATGGTGTAGATGTAGTCATGGTGTAGATGTAGTAGTCATCCTCCCCACATGGTGTCATGGTGTAGATGTAGTCATGGTGTAGATGTAGTAGTCATCCTCCCCAGTTACTCCATGGCAGCTATGACTCTATGACTTCATCTTACTGATTTTAAAGGCATATTCCACAATGATAATTAGGTTGACCAGGTTTACATTTTGAAAGTACATTGTAAAGTATGTGTTTGATGTGACTGAAAACTGGTGGGCAGAGATCAGCCTTTACAGTCTTCACCTTAGCTCTTTACTCTCTTTAATGTTCAAAGCCACAGTACCGAAGTGACTAACGACGTTACAGCAACACTGGTTCACTCAGTCTTGACAAACACTCACTGTGTCTCAGAGTTCCGTCCTTGAGTGATGACCCCGGTGAACTCTACCTCTTTGTGAGCGTCGACCTCAAACCAGTGGCTGGCCTCCTCCGTCTCTGCGCACCACGCGCCACCGTACAGATCGTCTTCATCGTCAGAGGCCTGCAGATGGCGTCAACACCAGCAGAACTTAAACCACTTGCAGTGACACTACTGAGAACTGGAAATGCATGAGACGGAGTCCCTGGGAGATACCTGCATGTTGAGCCGGCCCCTCTGAGCTGTGAAGCCATGGTGAGACTGAGAAGAAGCTAACAGCTGGTCATCCTCCACCCTGTGGGACTCCAAACCCAAAGGAGGACACGCTGAGAGAGGACACAGATTGTCATTAACATTCATTTTGTTAAAGTGAAAAAACAAACAAGTGTTGCTCAAAAAAGATTCAAAAGAAACACTTTTGTCTTACTCTTGGGTTCTGTTGGCAGTAACAGTTGCCTCCTCCTCTCCTCCTCTTCTTCTTCCTCCCACTTTTTCTTTAGTCTCTCAGCTTTCAGTAACAATGAAAAAAACATACGTCAGTATGTGGTATCACATTTACCTTGCCTCTCCAGGCGCCCGCCCCCACCACTACAGACATCCAAAACATTTCCATATGTGCTTTCACTCTGCACCGTCCTTTCACCTCTTCCCTCAGTGTTTTCTGTCAGCAGCGTGGTCCAAAGCAGACGGTTTGAGAAACATCACAGAATAACATCAAGGTGCAGATGTTTTGTTCCTAACTTGACAGGGATATTTCTCAACACACTTCTTGGACTGATTGTTATCTTCCTACATCATCCAGCTGGAGTCTCAAGTTTATTAAAACAAAAATCCACAAAAGAAAACCCTAATAAAACAGCTGTGACAAACCCTCCTCCTCCTCAGTCTCTTCCTCCTCATCTCCAAACAATCTTTTTTATGCTTCATAATAATGGGCCATTGTCTTCATTTCTTACTTAATTTCCCCAAACTTCCCAGGTCTGGAACAGCAGTTGACCTGACCTTCAGCTGCTCAGGGTTAACAGCACAACACATACCCAAACCAATATAAATGTGGCCTTGTTTTTCCCTGTCCAACCTAATAGAGCTGCAGCTCATGCGGTCTCACAGAGACATGAAGGCGTCCAGCCTAACGTAACACTGTGCATGTCTCAGCTGTTGGACAGAAAAGGTTGGAGCACTGGAATGGAATCTTTGCAGCTCTCTAAAAAGAATACGACGATATCTGACACTTTCAGTGCAGTAGTACTGACAGAATGAATGGACACTGTAGTGAAACATGGCTTGACAGATACTCGACTCAGTCACTACTGATTTCCAGTGAAGAGACCAATGGCGTTTGTAAAAAACAAACCCTTTTCTGCCTTTTCCTTCCGAGCTCTCTCTTCTTCTTCCATTTGTTTCTTAGCAGCCACTGCGAAGGCACACATCACATCCATCATTATATATTTATATATATATATATGTATATTATATATGTCATACCTGTTCAGGATATATAGTTACACACTTACAATCATCGTAATTGTACTCTTCATACCAGGGAATCGTATATGGAACAACAGTCGTTTCCTCTGAAACAGAAGTAAACAAGGGAATACAGACGAAACTACTGTTAATTATTTTCTGCTCATTCATTTTAAATGAAGGCCATTAAAAGTAAAACAAATTGAAAAACTCTAAACCAGTGGTTCTCAAACTTTTTATACTCTGTACCACCTGAGAAACCACCATGATGACCAACATCAGAATCCCTGTTAGCTTCCACCACAGGAGAGATGTTTACAAAGATGTTTATGTTTAAATGTTGTATTAATTGTGCATGGCATGTTTCAGATTTATTCAGTTGTAAATGTGAAAATATGAATTTTCCTGGTGTACCACTAGTGAGTACCACTGGTGGTACGCGTACCACAGTTTGAGAACCACTGCTCTAAATGCAAAATTTGAAGTGTACATTGTGAAAGCTGTATCAATTCATAGGTAAACATGAAAGTGTGTACCTGGGATGAACATAATGGCCTCTGTAGTCGTGCTCTGCTTCTTGTCTGGCATTTCATCTGTGGAAAAGTACATTCTTTTTTAAGTATCCTATAGTGTGAATAACTAATAATAGACAGTAATGATGTTCCATTTCAGAATAGAAACCATTTTCCACTTCAAATTACACGGGACATCCCAGTAGTCAGGTTCAGGTTTTGTGGGAGATTCTATTGGAGAGTATTTGACCAGCATGACTCAGGCTTACTACTTGTTACGATCGATTATGGTAGGAACTACCATACCAACATCTTTGCTAAAGTCTCATTTATCTTCTTTTGTCAAAGTCACAGTACCAGGCAGAGAAAACATACTCCTCCAGTAGGTGGCAGGAGATGTTTTTTTCTTCAGTTTCTGCGAGTATATCAGTGTAGTGTTCGACTAAACAGGTTCCAGGTTCCACACTGGGAATGTAAACTGTGGGTAAATTGAAGATCATTCTATTTCATTACTTATACTTTTTATGACATTTTTGTTTTGTGGAGCACCAGAGATTTTTCTAATGTGAAATATGTGCAATCGCTTAAAAGGGCTCTGAAAACACAACTCTAAGTCATCCTCTAAATATATATGAATATGTATGCTTTTAATCTATGTGGATCTAGACCCACCCTCAGTGCTGGACTAAAAGGTGATTATACAGACTACGAAACAAAAAAACAACCTTCTTTACATCCGTAGTTACCTACCTGTCCAGGTGTGTAATATCATCACAAATCCTTTGAGATATTACTTCACTATTACTACGTGAGAAACTAATATTTGAATCAGTGATGTTTGCTGTGAGTCTTACCCAGGCCTGGCTCTACCGGCTCCGTCGGGGTCGCAGGTGGAACGACTGTGGAATTGAAATGTCAGAGTCAGTGTTGACTAAACTAAACAGAACAACCAAACCAGTGCAGACTAAGAGGGTGTGTGCATGCATTTAATGAAGATAAAGGACTGTCTATAAGTTTCATTTATCATCTGAATATTCTTTTTCACAGCAAGTTTGTAAGAACATGTTCAAGCTTTTTAATGTTTCATCCACCTTTCCTGAAAAATGATATCAAAGTGTACATACGTTTGTCCCAGCCCAGTTCAATCAGCAGTTTCTCCTCTTCCTCCTCCGGGGAAGTAGGGGGCTTGGACAGTGGAGGCGCTGTAGCTGCAACCTTTGGTTTTTTTGTGGGTTTAGGCACCTTAGGTTTCTTGGTTGCCTTTGGTGCTTTGGGTTTCCTGGTAGGTTTGGGGGGCTTGGGCTTTTTGGTGGGCTTTGGGGCTTTCTGCTTCTTTGCTTTGGCCTCCTTCTCTGCAGCTTTCTTTGCTCTGGCTGAAGGTTAAAATGAGGAAGACAGTCATTTCAAAACCTCTACAAGGTGTTCTACAAGTATGTACAAGACAGAAATGAGCACATATAGCAGCTATTCTTTGAATTGTGTACTCAGGGTGGGGGCCTTAAGACAATTAAAATATGTACAAATAGATCAGTTTTTTTTCTATTTAAAACCATTTAAACCTATTTTTTAATCTCTTACAACCACTAGTGGGAGCTCGCGCACCCCCACACATTGGGAATCCCTGGTCTATGCTACCGTGAGTGTCAGAGCATTTTAATTCTTTTCAACTAGGTGGCAGCGAAATGCTTGAAAAATTATAAAAAGAGACGGCGCTGTTGAAGCTCTTCATAGATGTCTTTCTTCTGTTTCTTCTTGTGTTCAACTAAACAGGCCCAGGTTTTATGGAGGGTACGTAAATTGTGTGTAAAGTTGAAACTACAACATCATTATATTTCATCACATATATATTTTGTGACATTTTTGTTTGATGATGCATTGTTGGACTGGGATGGAAAATATGTGCCATTGCTCAAAAACGGTTGTGAAACACTCGCTTTAAGGAAATAAAATATATTCTACAATATATACCATTCCAAATGTAGCAGTTAAGACAGTACCAGATGATAACCAGTGAACTTTCTTTAGTTTAGTGTGTTAAGGGTTACTGTAGGTGTTAAAGGTGGGAGTAATGAAGGCTTAGCTGTTTTTTTTTACATGTGCTGTAAAGAGAAACAGACATTTTGGATAAAAGCTGTTTGTCAGGCAGCTGTGGTGCAGGAGGAGAAATCAGCAAATGTAGCAAACAAGGACATAATGATGGCTGGTGTAATGAGGCGGGCCACGGTGTGTGTGATTCAAATATTAAACAGGAGAAGAACAGGACAAAAATGTTTATGCAAAGTTATGAAAGGAAAAAGGGGGCGGAGTTAAATGGTCAAGTGTGAGGGGCTGTTAAGTGTTTCCAGGCTCACACAGATGCAGAGGATTTTGGATCAGATCCTTTTTATGTGAGAGTAAAACAGGTGGTTTCCCATCAAATCATAGAAGGGAGACCAGATGTTTGTACTTTGGCATTCTTGGTCCTCCCATGTTACAAACACATCAACAGACTCCAACGCAGACACAGAGGGCGCCTGATGTTTCTGAAGTGCTCAAACGTAACAACCTACCACAGACCAAAAAGGTGATTCAGTGCGGCTGTCCGTCACCTGTTCATGGCCAAATAATTAGCCCTTTTTCCACCCAGTGCTGGGAATGAAAGAAGCCTTTTTAATTTCTCAATGTCCATGTTCTCCCTCAAGTTCTGGTTATATAACAAATATTTTCCCAAATGATGTGTGTGATGTTAACATGAAGTCATAGCTGGATAAGGTCAGGCCTCTGGTCCTCTGATGTCCTCAGAAGTCTCATGATTCATGAGACATTCAGTCAGTTAGAACCCACACAGACCAGAGACATTGTTTTTACAGCAGTTTTTACCTTAATTTCCCAAAGGGGTTAATAAAGTTCTATCTATCTATCTATCTATCTACTTAGTGTAAATATCAGACTTTCTTCAATTTAAGTTGTACCCCTCAATCATATTCAAAGTTGAAATCTCCAGTAATTTAAATTTAACGAAGTAAACTCATCACTTACATGGTAATATTAGGAATCCTTTGTGTTCTATCTGTGTTTCCACCAATATCTGTTTTTCTGCTCTACTTTTTTAAAAACTTTTTTCAAAACTTGGTTCTTATGTAAGTCAGTATGTTTATTTAACACTGTATAACTGTTGTTTTTTAAACACACAGTAAAAGCCAATGCCAGCATGGCCTCATTATATCAAATGTTTGGTTGATAAACTGTGTGTGTGTGTGTCTGGCCATGCGTATTTTAGAGGAGAAGAGTGGATTCTAGAACATTCTCTCTGAGTCTCTCAGCAGCTAAATCCAGTTGAGCAACAAATAAATCATTCTCAATGTCTTGAAGAAAACACAGACTGAGAGTCTGCTTTAGCCGTCCCTGCAGTGATATTAAACAAAAGCATGAAAGTTCAAAGGGCTCGGTGAGGACTGTGCACACTCAGCAGAGCATTTCCTGCATAAACAAGGCTCAACAGAAATGTGAAAAATCATGGTAGTCTGGTTTTGCTGATTATGGCTTTTTATGTAACAGAAATCAGCCACAGGAAAAAAAAACTTTGGCTACTGGGCCTGTGGTTTTGCTCCATGCCAGTGGAAAGTTAACATTACGAACATGGAGTCTGAAAGTGGGCCTGTCATAAATCCATGCTTGCTTACTTGTGGAAAATTGTAGTGGAAACATTTCTGCTGTTGCTCAGACTGTGTGTGTTTTTCACAGATGTAGACATAATAGAGGCGCAGACGCCACTCGCACGTAAAACGTCTTCTGCCGGTGAGTGCGCCAGGCAACTAAAAATTTAACAGCTGTTGTGTCCCTGTTCCCGGCAGAGAGTCTTGATCATGCAAGTGTTGGTGTCGGCCAAAAAAACATCAGCCAACCAAATGAATCACTGCACATTTCAGCCCTGCTGTCACCTCTGAATCACTCAGGGGTTTTTTGTCTATAGAACTAAGGCTCCTGTGTTTTTTAAAAGCAGCTCATAAGGAACTCTCTGGATAACTGGACACAGAGCTGGAGACGGTACAAAGACTGATTGCAGCCTTTGCCGTCCCTGTGTCCTCTGTGTCTTGGCTGAGATCTGAGAGCCAGAAAGATGAAGCAAAGTCACATCCAATGGTGAATCAACAGCATGGACTCTTTAACAACTGTCAGACAAATGTTGATGATGATGTTTCTCTAATCTACTTACCTGCCTCAATTTCCTCCGGGGTCTTCTTCTTCTTTGGTTTGGTGGATTCTGCCTCCATCTCCACCACAGGCTCGTCCAACATCTGAACGTCCATGTCCTCCTTCTTTTGTCTCACTTGTTTGACCACAGCTCTGGTTTGTCTTACCTGAACCTGGCCACTGGAGTCTCTGCCTTTTTCTCCCTCTTCTTCTTCTTCTGCACGGACCAGGGTGCAGCACAGTGTTAGTGTGGCCCAGACCACCAGCACCTCCACCCTCATTTCTCCCAGTGAAAGCTCAAACTAAGAAGAAATAAGTCAGGTCTCCACAACGCTCCACAGCTGGATCCTAAACTGTGCTCATACAAGTCAGTGTGAAGCAGAAATGTCCCACATCTGAAATGCAGACGCAGAACTTCACTTGTCCTGGGGCTCACAGGACATGAAAGGGACGTGTTTTTGAAGAGAACAAAGGATCAGCCTGGAGGTCTGGAGAGCTTCCTCTTTTCTGATGGAGAGAGGGAGAGAAGGAGAAGTGGAGAGATGGATATTTTAGAGAGTTGTCCTGGTTGAGCTGCAGCGGAGGAAGCACGTCTGGATTGGATTTTCAGCAGCAGCAGAACTACACACACCTCCCTCCTTTATCCTTAAACCAGCACCTCCTACTCTACTCTACCAGATACCGCTCAGTTACATCTCTCCCTCATGGCCCTTCACCCCTTTTCCCCTCACCCATCTGAGTGAACGGGAGGAGCATCTGCCACATAAGACATTCCTACACAGGAGGGAAGGAAGACAGGAAGAAAAAAAAATTACTACAAACATTATCTTGGTGTAGAGACTGAAACTAATAAATATTTTAGGTCCTGATCATGTTGATGTTTTCTACAAGAATTTCTCAGTTTTGTTCTTGTACATTTTAAATAATAGTTCTCCATGTAACGTGTTACTTGATAACCATGTATCCTCAGATCATTAATACCTATCGTCATATTAGCCTAACTTCTTCATTGACTTTGCTTTTGGATATACACTGGAACTTTACACTTTCTTTCCGATGTTGTCGCAGTCTTTCCTTCAAACATGTCCAGCCATTAGCCTGGACAACATCGTTATTGGATTATTCCTGGATTTAGTATTTAGGGGGAGCTGTTGTGCTTGGCTAACTTTGTATGTTCCCCTTAACCAGTGTTCCAGTACTTTAAAAAAAACCCTAACCCTAAGGCTAGTAAACAAGCTATTCTGCGGGCTTGCACACAGCACATCGTCTGAGCTGATTCGGCTAGCAGTGTATTCATCATATTGTATTTTCACTGACCTAGAGGAGCAGCTAAATGCTGTGACCATTGCATTTTTCTCCTCAAACTTTCACAAACTCCTCAAATGTCATATATTTTGTGCGCCACTGAATTAGGTCACGGTCACTGCACTGTGAATCTCTTGGGTGGGGGGAAAGAGAAAAAACAGTTTTTCCATGAAATAATCTGAAGTAAAAACAAAGAAATTCTAGATCTAATTTACCAAAAAGTCCGGGATGTTTCCACTAAAAAAGTAGAACCGACTTCTTGCTCTTCTCATGTCTTATCAGGCACCACATTTTTCACAGTTTTTTTCTTTTAGATAATGACTCATTCGGTCGGTCATTACTTTTGGCTTTGCTATAATCAGTGTGTGTGCGTTTGTGTGTGTGTGTGTGAGTGAGTGTGTGTGTGTCCTTTATCTCCAGTACTGTCCAAGCATTTCCTGCTTTTCCTTTGACACCATCTGCTTCCAATGCTGCTGTGATGAAGATTTATTTTAGAGCTTGTTTTCTCTAAATCAGCCTCCAAGGTCATCATCTCACTTACATCAGCATCACTCAGGATATTTTATTCTCTGATATTGTTATAAGATCTGGATTCAATACATAGACAAACATTATAGTTCCTTGCAAACTTGTGATGCCTCCAGCCTGACTTCAAAGACCTCCTCTGGTGTTTTAATATCTAAAGTGGTTTATTTAAAGTAAATACTTCAGTGATTTGTCGTACTTCCTGTGATGGACACAAAGGGGAGGGTTCAAAGCCTGGAAGGAGTGCACGCTGAATTGCATACAGATGTGCCTGAGTGTGTGTGTGTGAAAACAAAAAGAAGATATAATGGTATTTAAACGGCAGTTATGGATGAATTGCAAAAACGTATCATGACATATTGTTAAGGGGGGGATTCCTTTTTTTTTTTTTTGCCGATACCGATATAGGCCAGGTAATATTTATTTATTTATCTGTACAAACAACTGTATGAGTATGATATTAATTAAAGTAGCTCCAATGCTGCCACCTAGTGGCTTTCACTTTAATCGGTCGGCCGATATTATCGGACATCTAATTCTTTCACTTTTTTCCATCTTTTACTCCCCCTGTACTGTACTGTAGCTGTTCTGGGATGTTTTATACGTATTACTCTTTTAAATTAGTAAATCTGTTGTGGAGCCAAAAGACAGTTATCCAAACAAACAACTCAAATGACATATTTTATTATAAAAATGTTTATCAAAATAAGTTATAGTATAATTACATTAGAAAATATTTTACATTTAACTCTCCTAAAACAGTGCCATATAGGTATTTTGCGCAAACTCGGTGTGGAGATTCCCGTGTCCGTTGTCCGTCTGAGCGCATTTTACGCGTCATGTCGCTTCGTAAGTTCCATGTTACAGGTAGAACATGCGACGTGGTAGAAGCTGCAGCGGCAAAGGCGGCGGCGGCGGCAGCGGCAGCGGCCCAGACAGTGGGAACAGAGTGTGTGACCGACAGTGCAGCATTAGTGGGCTGCAGCTCGGACATGAACATAGAGCTGAGTGTGAGGCGACCGCGGTGAGGCCGCGCTCCTCCAACGCCGCGTCCGTCTCGCCAAACCCGCGCTCCTTCTTCCACTTGGTTCGTCTGTTCTGAAACCAGATCTTAACCTGCGTCTCTGACAGTTGGAGGGCCGCGGCAATGGTGTGTCGCTCCAGCACCGACAGGTAGTGGCACCTGTGGAAGCTGCGCTCCAGCGTCTGCAGCTGCTCGATGGTGAAGGCGGTGCGCACGCGCCGAGCCCTTCTGACCTGCGGACAGTGAGCCTCCTGTGTCACCTGAAAGAGGCAGTCGTCCTCTGTCTGGAGATGCTGCTTTTCTGCGTGTTCCTCAGAAAATCCTGTGAAAAAAAACGAGTAAATCGATTTATTAATCCTTCACCATGGAGCAAGACCCAGTCACCAAGTTATTATTATTATTATTATTATTATTATTATTATTAGTAGTAGTAGTAGTAGTAGTAGTAGTAGTAGTATTAGTTAAAGTGAGAATCAGCTGTATGCACTTCTGTGACTGGTGAGTACACAAATATTACACAGTTGTTGACAGTAGTTTGTTCAGGTATTGCATAGTTGAAAGAATAGAACCTACGTCAGATAGTACACATATAGAATTGCAGTACTAAGTAGAGACATTTCCCTAATACCTAAACCTGCATGTTTTTTTGTTGTTGTTGTTGTTGTTTTGTTTTTTTTTGGAGAAAGTCGGAACATCCAGAGAAAAGCTACAGGTTCTCACGGGTACAACGTTCAAAACCCACGTTCAAAAGATCAACAGTGACCAACGGGTAACCAGCCTTGTTATTGCTCTGTTAATAGAAATGATGTACAAGTAACAACTTAACTTCAATAAACAGTCCAAACTTTGACTCTCACCTTTTGCCGCTGCATCTTTTCCACGCGGCATTTTTCTCGTAAATTTCGTTGGGTCCAAAATATCCTCCACGGAGAAGGGAGTTCTGTGGATGTTCGGTAACTTAACTGGCTGCATCTCTGCTTCTCGTGCCTCTTGTCTCTTTGTCTCCCCCAGGACTCTGTGCTGTGGTGCCGTGCGCTCTCCTGGACTTTATATATCCTGTGCACACGCCACGAATTTGCATTTGATTGGAAACGTAGCCCACACCGAGTCACCGTGTAAAATCATGATTCCTATAGTCTGTCCTGCAGGACACGCTCCGGCCCCGTCGGACCCCTGCGCCGGTGCTTCAAAATGCAAATGACCTCTCTCAGCTGGAAAGAGGAGGGGGGCTCATGGTCTGTCATTTATTGCTGGGCATCTGGTTAAAATGTGCCCCTTTTCTTCCCCTCCGTGTTCTCCATTGTGCTTTTGCTTGTCATTATTTGCCAGTGTGAGATGTTGAGGTTCAGTGGGACACGTGAATGTCTCTTGTGATGCTAATTCATGGACTCATCAAAGGGGGAAAGTTTGCGGCCCTCACTCCCCCCGGAGTCCCAGTGTGCACGTAACCATTCGTCCTGTTGACAACGACAACACAAAGCACTTAGCTTTAATGAGAAGCCCACTTACAACTTTATGACAGCCACTGACCATCTGATGTGGAGCCCCCTCACACTGACATTACTATAAGAGACCACACTGTTATATATTTTTTATTTATTTTAACATTTATGGATAAGAACTACTTTTTGAATTTAATTTTTTTTAATGACCCGTTGATTAACTCCTCTGTAAATATTTAAAAAGACTTTGTCCAGAACACATTCCTGGGGTGGATCGTCACGGTTCTCCCCATGGTTACCCAGCTTTAGTTTCAACCAGTGTTCAATTCTGTATACATGTCCCTCCTATAGCTTTTCTGTCATTAATATATTGCAAAAAATGTATTTACAAAGGTATGCTGATTTTACTCTTTTTTACTAAAAAGAAAACAGTTCCTTATACAGTCAATACTACCCTAGGCAGTGAAGAAGTTGAGACATTTGTTTGGAATATTATTATTCATCCAACTGTGTGTACCTGCTCAACTCCACAGTGGCAGTTTGCTCAACAATACAGGAAACAGTTCTATCTTTAAATTCACATTATTGGACAGAGTTATCTGATACAGGTCGTCAGCGCCTCTTGTAAAGGAAAGTGGGGAATGCACAGTGGGTGGAGGTTTGGAGTGATGGCCCGATGGAGGTGAGTGCTAAAGGCGACAGCTGCCCACAGGCTTCTGAGCTCCAGACACCTACAGAGAAACTGGCATTGAAAAGACAAGAGAGGCCGACCCATCAGGACAATTAGCAGATGTCACCAGTGAGACTGACCCTCCATGACCCCGG